TTTCATCAAGAGGCTCTTTAGTTCTTCACTTTCTGCCATAAGGGTGGTGTCATCTGCTTACCTGAGGTTATTGATATTTCTCCCGGCAGTCTTGATTCCAGCTTGTGCCTCATCCAGCCCAGTGTTTCTCATGATGTACTCTGAACATTAGTTAAATAAGCAGGGTGACAATATACAGCCTTGACGTACTCCTTTTCCTATTTGGAACCAGTCTGTTGTTCCATGTCCAGTTCTAACTGTTGTTTCCTGACCTGCATACAGGTTTCTCAAGAGGCAGGTCAGGTGGTCTGGTATTCCTGTCTCTTTCAGAATTTTCCTCAGTTTGTGGTGATCTACACAGTCAGAGGCTTTGGCATAGTCAATAAAGCAGAAATAAATGTTTTTTCTGGAACTCTCTTGCTTTTTCGATGAGTCAGCAGGTGTTGGCAATTTGATCTCTGGTTCCTCTGCCTTTTCTAAAACCAGCTTGAACATCTGGAAGTTCACAGTTTACGTATTGTTGAAGCCTGGCTTGGAGAATTTTGAGCATTACTTTACCAGCGTGTGAGATGAGTACAATTGTGAGGTAGTTTGAGCATTCTTTGGCGTTGCCTTTCTTTGAGATTGGAATGAAAACTGACATTTTCCAGTCCCGTGGCCACTGCTGAGTTTTCCAGATTTGCTGACATATTGAGTGCAGCACTTTCATAGCATCATCTTTTAGTTTTAGAGGTAGGAATCTAATTTTATGTGTATATATATAAACACTCATGCATATGATTTTTAAATGTGTGTATATAGTATATGTTATATGCAGTATAATTCCTATTCAATAATTATATAATTAGTGATATATACAGACATACAGATATACACAGATAGATATATATTTATGTTGTTAACTGAATTTTCCATTAACATTTATTGGATGCATCTCTGTTTCCCCATGGATTAGTAATGCTGTTTTTGGCATATGAGAAGTTATATTTGCTGAATATTTGTGAACTCTGTTCCATTAGTCTGTTTTAGCTTCTCTGGATACCACACTTGTTTTATTTGCTGTAATTTTATTAATCTTAAGTCTTGTAGTATGAGTCCTATTTATTTACGTTTGTAAAAATGTGTTTATATTCTGTTTCATTACTCTTTTATTTGAAATTTAGTATCAGCTTATTTTATTCAAGGAAAAACCTTATTGACTTTTGATTAGATATACATTGAATTTATAAATTAATTTCAGGAGAATTTATATCTTTATAGTATGAAGATTGGATCTTGGTTGAAAGGTTGGTCTCTGGATATTCTAATTCCCTGTCACTTATCGGCACAGTTATCTTGTTTAAACTCTGCCGCAGTTTTCTCGTTGGTAAAATGTAGAAAATGAGTCCCTGTGAAAAATGTAAGGATTAAATGAGTTAATATGCATAAAACCCTTGGAGTTTAGCAAATTCCAAGTAAATATTAGATACTGTTACTCGTTTTGTATCTCTCCATTCATTTGGGTCTTATTTTATGCCCTTCAGAAAAGCTTTATAACATTCTTCATAAAACCCTTGTTGTTCAATTGTTAAGTCATGTCCAACTCTTTGCAGCCTCATGGTCTACAGCATACCAGGCTTCCCTGTCCTTCACTTTCTCCCACAGTTTGCTCAAATTCATGTCCAGTGAGTCTGTGATTCTATCCAAACGTCTCATCCTCTGTTGCCCATATTCTTCATGATCCTCTTACGCATCTTTTTTCTTTTTTATTCCTAAATATCTTAGTTTTTGTTGCTACTGTGAATGGAATTTTCTCTAGTTTACATTACTAAATTTGATGTGTCCAGGAGTCTTCCTGAACTCTTTTGTTAGATTGTCTCAGTTTAAGATTTTCTTGGATTTTTCATTTAGATGTTAAATTGTCCCCAAGTAATGACAGTTTTGTCTTTTCCATTCCTTTTTTCCCTCTTTGTATTATATAAGAAATGTAATACATCTTTGAATAAAGCAATGATAATTGGTCTTCTTCATCTTGCCTTGCCTTTAAAGAGAATTCTGAAATTTCACGAATAAGTATGTTGTTTACTTAAGGTTTTTGATACCATTTATCACATTAAGGAATTTACCTTCTATTCCTAATTTCTTGAGAGCTGTCCTGAATTCATACTGAACTATTCAGTTCACTTCTGTTCAGTCACTCAGTTATGTCGGACTCTGCAACCCCATGGACTGCAGCACACCAGGCCTCCCTGTCCATCACCAGCTCCAGGAGTTTACTCAAGCTCATGTCCATCAAGTCAGTGCTGCCATCCAACCATCTCATCCTCTGCCGTCCCCTTCTCCTCCCGCCTTCAGTCTTTCCAGCATCAAGGTCTTTAAATGAGTCAATTCTTCGCATCAGGTGGCCAAAGTCTTGGAGTTGAATCTTCAGCGTCAGTCCTTCCAATGAATATTCAGGACTGATCTCCTTTAGGATGAACTGGTTGGATCTCCTTGCAGTCCAAGGGACTCCCAAGAGTCTTCTCCAACACCACAGGTCAAAAGCATTCTTCAGTGCTCAGCTTTCTTCACAGTTCAACTCTCACATCCATACACGACCACTGGAAAAACCATAACCTTGACTAGACGGACCTTTGTTGACAAAGTAATGTCTCTGCTTTTTAATATGCTATCTAGGTTGGTCATAACTTTCCTTCCAAGGAGTGAGCGTCTTTTAATTTCATGGTTGCAATCACCATCTACAGTGATTTTGGAGCCCAGGAAAATAAAGTCAGCCACTGTTTTCACTGTTTCCCCATCTATTTGCCATGAAGTAATGGGACCAGATGCCATGATCTTAGTTTTCCGAATGTTGAGCTTTAAGCCAACTTTTTCACTCTCCTCCTTCACTTTCATCAAGAGGCCCTTTAGTTCTTCACTTTCTGCCATAAGGGTGGTGTCATCTGTGTGTCTGAGGTATTGATATTTCTCCCAGCAATCTGGATTCCAGCTTGTGCTTCTTCCAGCCCAGTGTTTCTCATGATGTACTCTTCATATAAGTTAAATAAGCACAGTGACAATATACAGCCTTGATGTACTCCTTTTCCTATTTGGAGCCAGTCTGTTGTTCCATGTTCAATTCTAACTGTTGCTTCCTGACCTACATATAGGTTTCTCAAGAGGTGTGTCAGGTGGCCTGGTGTGACCATCTGTTTCAGAATTTTCCACAGTTTTTTGTGATTCACACAGTCAGAGGCTTTGACATAGTCAATAAAGCAGAAATAGATGTTTTTCTGGAACTCTCTTGCTTTTTCGATGTTCCAGCAGATGTTGGCAGGTTGATCTCTGGTTCCTCTGCCTTTTCTAAAACCAGCTTGAACATCTGGAAGTTCAAAGTTTACGTATTACTGAAGCCTGGCTTGGAGAATTTTGAGCATTACTTTACTAGCGTGTGAGATGAGTGCAATTATTTACCTTAAGTTCACTATTTTCAGAATTGTGATAGAGAATTAGCATAGTTGTAGTGGTACAACGGAGGGACTGAGGGAGGAAGTTTTCTTTTTTGGTGAGCACATCTGTTTTGAGGTTTTCCGAAAAACAGCAACAATAATGACTCCTACTATGGCAATAAAATCATAAGGACATTGTATTTAAACAAAACTATGTATGATTCAAGGGTAAGTTTTGTATGTAAGTTTTTTAGCTGTATATACTTAAAGCTATTCGTTATAATACTTTAATTATCTATTGAAGTATACATGCTCAAAAATGTTTCATTGATGGATACATAATCATAAAAAGTTTGCAAATCACTCCGTCTATTTTCTGACACTTTTTCCTCATTGAAACAATTACTCTTACAATACAGTTTTTTATACCAATGTTACAATGTCAACTATGGAATTCTGGCAGATGATGATACAATATTGGCAGTACTTATTTTTTAAACATATATACTTGAAAACATTTCCCACATTTTTCACTTCCACACTGTTTGATCTGTAGTTACTGCTTTGTGTTCACTTGAAGATCTCAGTATATGGGGGAAGCAATAACTCCTACCATCATTGTGATCTTTAGTGTTTGGAGTAATGTTTAGCTGAAGTATTTGGGAAAGCTAACTATGAAAGGTACTGCTGACCTGTAATAGGAATAACTTTAGGGAAGATTGTTCTTATTGTTTACATACTGGTGCTTCTTAAAAAAAATCAGATGCTCTTTCTCTTTACAGGATGCCATACTTTATATAAACCCATTATACTGTACTGACATCTGAATTAATATAAAAGTTTAAATTCAGATATAATTTTCTTTTTGAAAGTTTTTGAGAATAGGTTTTATATACCAGTTTCACACTGTTATGTATCATTTGTTGTTCAGTTACTCAGTCATGTCCAGCTCTTTGCTACTCTGTGAACTGCAGCATGCCAGGCTTCCCTGTCCTTCACTTTCTCCCTGAGTTTGCTCAAACTCATGTCCATTGAAATCCATGATACCATCTAACCATCTTATCCTCTGTTGTCCCCTTCTCCTTCTGCCTTCAATGTTTCCCAGCATCAAGATCTTTTCCAGTGAGTTGGCTCTTTGCATCAGGTGGCCACAGTATTGGAGCTTCAGTTTCAGCATTAGTCCTGCCAGTGAATATTCAGGACTGATTTCCTTTAGGATGGACTGGTTGGATCTCCTTGCAGTCCAAGGGACTCTCAAGAGTCTTCTCTAACACCACAGTTCAGAAGCATCAGTTCTTCAGCCCTCACCTTTCTTTATGGTCCAAGTAGATACATAACTTGCATTTGTACAGTTTTCCTAAATTTAGGGATCTGTTTTATAAAGTTAGATATGTTAAAAAGTTGAACTGATGCACTGATGTCCTCAGTATATGAATATGTATATGTATATGTATCTAATTCTCACATAAGAATGACTTGGCATAGAAAAAAAGAATGATTTGATATAATCCTACTTTTAAATGGTAACCATAGAGTGGTTAATGTTAAATTAATATTAAAAACTAATGTTTTTTAATAAAAATAGATCTAATTTGGTTACTTATTTTATTTTAGCGAAGAATAACCAGAATTCAACAAATAGAAAAGGACATACTTCGTATACGACAGCTTTTACAGTCCCAAGCAACCGAAGCAGAGGTTAGTGAATTGTCTCTTTTGTTTGCAGTTATAATGATAGGTGGTTGTTCTAAGGAAAGAAAATATGTATAATTAGCATGGCGTCATTGAAATAGATGCCTAGAGAATTGAGACACTTGATAAAATTTTTCATTAAATTAAGTATAGATTTCAAAAATCTATACTAGTATGATTTCTTCATAACTTTTATGCAATTAAAGCTTATAGAGCCATAAATAGATACCTTACTTCATTTATCTGTTTACATATAATTTGACTACTAACAGTTTGTAAATAAGCTATCTCCTTCTGTAATCCATAGTAAAAGTTGATCATATACATTTATCTGTGCTTACTTTACAAACTTCATTAAAATGACAGTAAAAGGGTAAAATGAAAAAGCACAAATACCAGGGAAGGTGACAACTAATAAAATTTGGAGAACTGCAAAGCAGATAAACAAATCATTCTTCTAGATTATGGTAGAGAGCTGACCCCAGAGTGAGCAGTAGGAGGTCACAAAGCAACTCATTTTACACTGTGGAGTCCTGAACATTTCCAGAGTTGGTTACACTAGGTACTTCTGGATATGAGGATTAAAAAGGGGGTTAAAACCATATTTGTCAGCTCTTCAGCTGAAATTTTGTTTTGATCACTACACAGAAGGATGGTATATAAAAAACCATCCCTTCAGCTATCTGTTTATAGCCACTGAATTTGGGCACTTGTCACTTTGTTTATGGGTAAATAAAAAGAAAACCTACATGGAACTTAAATGAACTATTGCTGAATAAGGAAAAATAGCATGTGGGAGGCTCAGAGAAAATAAAGTATTTCTTCTTAAGTCAACTATAGGATGACCTGTCTCTCTGCAATAAGAGCAAAACGTGTTGAATAAAAGTCCACATTGAACAATACAGAGTTGTTGCTAGGAAAAATTGGCTCAGTATTTGGGGATATATCAATGCAAAGTTTCTAATATGCAGCCAGATTGAGACTCACATTCCAGATCATACAGGAAAAAAGAAGAGAATGCAAAGAATGAAATATCAACCTAGTGCTTTATTCTAACTGTAATTACTGAAAACATGATGAAGTGCTTGTTGATATTTTTAAATGTTTATGAGATACAAAATAGTATGTACACTTTGATCCCATTTTTTAATATGCACAAACAGTCTATCAGAAATAATATGAAAAGGCAGGTAACCATTGCTAATACCTCCTTGTTTTTTTAGATTGGCCAGTTTTGTAATGTTTTTATAGTAACTGTAGAGCTTTTACAGTGAGAGAAAACTTTTGTATGCGAAACAAATCTGACGTGTCCTTTCATCACCAGCATGCTTCCCAAGTAGCTCGATGGTAAAGAATCCACCTGCCAGCCCAGGAGACGCTGGTTCTATCACTGGGTCGGGAAGATTCCCTGGAGAAGGAAATGGCAACCCACCCCAGTACTCTTCCCTAGGAAATCCAGTAGAAAGAGACACCTGGTGGACTACCGTCCATGGGGTTGCAAAAGAGTCGGATATGACTTGGCAAGTAAACCACAGCAACAGCACTTACCGCCAGCCCTGAGAATCTGATCGGATAATGAACAGTTCTGTTCGGAGGCAGAAACTTAGTGCAGGCCCATTTACACACAGAGAAGACAACTAATTCTAATGTCAAAAAGTATAATTTTGAAAACAGTGTCTTTTAAGACTCTGGTCATGCATGCCTTGCTTTTTAAATATCTTAGAAGCTTTGGCTTCAGTACATTTGAATTTGAAATATGTAGAAACATGTACTTGCTAAGTAGTCAAGTTCAGTGTAATAGTCATATTGCTAAAAGTAGTTTAACCTGGATGTTTTAAGTCAGTATGAACCAAATATTTGTGATATACAGACTGTGTCCTTTTTGCAATATTAACTCTTCAGTACTGTTTTTTTCTTTCCAAAATAAAACAAAATTATCTCTTTACTCCTTTTTCAGTGTCATTGGCATTGCTGTATGTGGCATTCTGGTTATTATTGCCCCTTTGGGTTTCCAGGGTAGTTTATCTGTGGTGGTTTTTTTTTTTTTTTCCCCTTGATCAAAATTACTATACTCTATTTTTAAAACTGTTTTTAGAGAGGCAACTTTTGTTTTTTATTGAGCAGCACTGCATTTATATTTTCTTTTTATATATATTTTTTCTGCTTTGAGTGTTTGCTGTTGTTTTTCTAGCTTCTTTAGTTATAGTTAGCTTTTATTCACCATCTTTCTTGTATTATGATTTTTACTGTTTGGCTGCATCAACAGGGTTTTTTTTTTTAATTTCTAGATCAATATTTACATTTATTTTTTCTACTTGATTGACTCTTTTATGTGTGTTAAATAGCCTTCTTTGCTGTTAGTATTACTGCATGGGGCTTCTTTTGGTCATCATTTGCCTGGTATAATATACTCACTGTCAGTACATTTCCAAACTTTACCAACATTCTGGCCTCTAGAAATTCCTAAGAAAAATTGTCATTTGTTAATAATAGTTCTCATTATCAGCACAATTATAAGTTTATTGCAGGTTGGGGGCTTGTTTGTGTTTTTTTATCTGTTCAAGATTTCATTTATATCATTGGATTTGGGACCAACTGTCTACCACCGTAACCTAGTCTATTCTTGTTTCTTTTTGTTATAAAAATGGCCATATTTTTCATAGCCTTAAGTCGTTACATTTATTCAATGAATATAAACTAAAAGAAGGTATCATGTCTTATTTAAGAAAGAGAGAAGTTTTTAATTTTGCTGTTTGCTGTTTTTTTATTACTACAGAAGGAGAAACTAGAAAATGGAGAAAACTGGGGATCAGATACTCATAAATTAGTTCACATACAGTATTGAGAAGAAAAGATGTCTGCCAAATAATTTCTCTACCATGAAGCATCTTATAACACTATCTTTGCCCTACCTGCTAACAATTCTGGTTTAAGATCTAGATGCAGGATATAACTCAGATGATATAACTATTGCACTTGATTCAAATCTCAGAAGTTCCAAGAGGGTACATGAGGCAACCAGTCCTACCACTTTCTTTTGTATTCTATAGGTTATTTACTGACAAATGTATACATTTTGGGGGGGGGGGGGCCAAAAGATGGGAGCTGTAAGGAAAATTGTGGCATGATTTAATAATCTCTAGAAAATAGCCAATGAGAAATAGTTTTTAAAATCCCATGCAGAGTACTCTTATAACTCATTAATAAAGAGACAACCCAACTTACAAATGGGCTAAAGATTTGAATACACATTTCACCAGAAAAATACATAGGGATGGCTAATAAGCACATGAAAATAGGCTCAACATCATTGGATGTTAAGGAAGTCAAGTTAAAACCACAATGCTGTATCACTCTATCCTCACTAGGATGGCTGTAGTCATGAGGAAAACAATAAGCATTGGCAAGGATGTGGATAAATAGAAGCTGCCATGTGTTGCTGATGGGAATGTAAAACGGTTCAGCCACTTGGAAAAGTTTGGCAGTTATCTAAAGTATTAAAGGTACAGTTACCATATGACCCAGCAGTTCCACTTCTAGCTATCTAAGAGAAATGAGCACATATGTCCACACAGAGACTTTAATTTGAATATTCATGGAAGTATTATTCACAGTAGCCCAAAAGTAGAAAAATGCAAAAGGGTATCAACTGGTAAATCAATAAATAAAATGTATACCGTTACAATGTAATACTACTCGGCAATTCAAAGGAACAAATTGTTGACACACACTATAACTGAGGTGAACCTCAAAAACATTATACTGAGTAAAAGTAGCTAGACATGTGAGTCCGTATATTCCATTTACAATAAACGTACAGAAAAGACGAGTTTACAGAGCAGAGTCATAGTTACTTGGAGCTGTGAGTGGGAATGGGGATTACCTATAAATGAGCATGAAGGATCTTTTTAGAGTGATGAAAATGGTCTAAAACTGAAATATGGTGCTTCTTGGTAAGTTTATTCAATGTCATTGAGTTGTATACTTAAAGTGGGTGAATTGTCTTAAAGGCATTTTAAATCCAACGTAACCAAAGCACAATTAATGATGGTCTCCTCCTAAGTCCTCCTTGTGACCCCCACATCCTCCAAATCCTCATTCTCCTTTAGTATTATCTGTCTCCATGAATGGTACCACCATTATTCAGCAGTGTGAGCTAAGAAACAGAAGAGTAGTTTGTGACCCCAGATCTCTTCTTCCGCTCACCGTATCCAGTCTGTCGTGCAGTCCTTCAGATTGACCTCTGTCTCCACGGCTTTTACCTGCATCAGTGCTTTGCTGGGTGTAAAGGACTGTCATCTCCCACTTACTTTAATATTTAGTCTGCAAGTTGATCTCTTGTGTTTCCCATCTACTTAGACCATTCAAAATTTGAGTTTAAACGATCAGAATACATGCACCTTTTTCCTTTAGAGTATTGGTTATGTGGGGGCATGAGTGCCATCTGAGAATCACACTAAAATTCAACAAAATCATTAAGTTCCTTTTTTTAACCATCTCTCTGTTCTACTCTTCACACTGTAATTCTTTGATATCCTAGAGCAAACCACGTTCCTCCCATCACAGCTCCTTTGCATATGGTCTCTATTTCCCTAAATTTTTGCATGTGGTTTCCTTCATCCTCTGCCACATCCCGTTTCCTAGAACTCCTGTTTATATTTTAGATCTCAGTCCAAACAACACTTCCTAAGAGCACTTCCCCCGACTCCCACAATGTCTGATGTCCCTCTGTTATATATCCTTATAAGCAACTTGTGCTCTTTTTTCAGAGTGCTTGTCGAAGTGTTTAACTTTACTGTCGTTTCTTTCATTATTTGATAGCATCCCTGACTAGACTAATCTGGAAGAGTGCGTTGAACAATGTCTGGGTTTGTCAGTATTGTGTTCTCCAGCCCTATTGCAAGTAACTGACATAGCACATACTCAATAATTACTTTTATATTGACATCTTCAGTGATGTCAGTGTCAAATCTCTGTAGATTTAGTGCTCGTTGATTCATTTTTTCTCTTCACTGACTTTGTATTCTCTGCTTTAGATGATTTTGTTGAATTTTATGGTGTCACTTTCCCAAGGTACTGTTTTTTCTTGTTTCTGAATTATTGGGACTACTTCTCTTTTGCCTATGTATAACTTACACTTGTTTATTGATGGAAATAGTATATGTAAATTATTTTTAAGTCACATTTTAAATGGTCTAGGAAAGCTTTATGTTTAAATAAATTCCAGTGGAAGCCATTTTGTAACATAGTTTTCCATTATTATGTCACACTTTTTAATGTGTAATTTTTAATTTTGCCTATAATTTTCCCAGAGGAGGCACACTGGTAACTGTTTCTATAAAAGATACTTGATTATTTTCTTTCTTTGATTCTGTGGTGATATTTTTCAAAGTGACTGCTTTGTACTAGATATAATCTGTCTTGAAATTACTGCTTTTACTGGATATAATCTTGCCCTTTCACTTTACCTAACAGATGGTGGTTACATTAGAAAAGGTTTTGGTTTTATTCATATTAGAATCTAAGAGCTTATCTGTTGGTTTCATATTACTTTTATTAGCAGATGTATATAAAAATATTATGTGTGTGTAAGTATAAATATACTTACATAGAAGGTATTTATAAGCTTAGGTAGTAACTGCTATATTTGTAGCTCTATTAAATACCAGAACCATGTGACCTTGCAGAAAAGACAGTTATTTGCTCTAGTTGGGTTATGTCCCCGATAGTGATGTGAGCACAGCTGGTGGAGGATGGTGTTTCTGTGGGTCTCAGAAAACCCTTTGTCTTGTGCGGCCCTAGTGCTCGAGGGACACACTTCACTTTGCTGTGACCGAGACAGGCAGCTGACAGCCTGCTGGAGGCTATGGAGTGCAGCTCCGTGCTTTTGTGAACCTGTGTCATTGAGGCCTTCAGAGCTTTAGAGCAAGAAAGAAGGAAAGCTGTGGGCTGAGAAAGCATGCACCGTTTTTGTATGTACTGATGTTAACTCCATATTAACAGAGGTCATCTCAGAGCAAGCATGAAGCTGGCTCACATGAAGCTGAACGGCAGAATGAAGGTCAAGGAGTGGCAGAAATCAACATGGCAACTGTGGGTAGCGGTCAGGTAAATAGATTATTTTATTAATTTTTTTTCTAGTTAACTATTTAAATATTTTAAAAGAAATACTGAGTGAGATGTTTCTCACATGACCTATAAATCTTAACTGTTTCCTTAGTCCTAAATGGATATCTCCAGAAGAATTCAGTACTAAAATGCTATGTCATTTTTCTTTATTATATTTAACTATGAAGCTTTCAAATTTCCAAGGATATTTTATAGCTCTAAAGTATGTGTCTCTGTTTTAGCCTAAAATGATTAATGTGAGTAGAGTTTCTTTGAAAAATAAATACTAAGCTGCATTTTGGTCATATGTGATTTGACCTAGTTATTACTGCTTGCATTGAATAGATTTGCTCTTTCTCTGTGGCATTCTAAGATATTTTTATGTTTTTTTTAAAAAATCATAAAGAGTTAATATTTTCATCTTTAGTTGTATTCCAGGATTATAGAAACCTAGCATTTAAATAAACAATTCTAATGCCCATTAAAATAAAAGTAAATAAATACCCTAGTCATATTTACTATTATCGTCTTTAGCAAAATTATGGAAGACAATTTTTTTAAATGTAGAACATTATCTTGTTGTGCTGCCATCAGTTTTCTATTAGAGTTTGATTGGAATATATCCTAATGAGTATTTTTCTTTGGAGTGTTCTGTATTCTCCACATTTTTTCAAGCAATATTTTATGTTTTAAATGAATGATTTTTTAAAATACAGTTTCAACTAAGTTGATTTTAAGGAAATTTTCTTACTGTTGATATAAAATATTCCTTTAGTGTCTATAGATTACTTTTAATGATACTATTTATTTAGAAAGAACGTGGTTCTATTAGTTCATTAAAATTTAAAGCTTAAAATGTCTCATACTTAATTTAAATATTTAAATTTACCACATTTAAACAAAAATATACTTCATTTTAATATTACTGGTCCACATTGTACTGGGTAATACTCTACAGATGGTAAATTAGGGCAAAAGAAATTATATTCCAATAGTACATTCGGGTTCTTTGTCTACTACTTAGGGAGTTCTCTGGGAATATCATGTGTTCCTACACATATGTAGAAAGAAGTTCTGTCTTCTTGACAAAAACCTTTTTTTTTGCTTTAGGATTAAGACCCACTATTAATACTTTGGGGTCATATTTCAATTATTATATCCTTTAAAGCCTCACCTAGCCAATAAGCTCAATATTTATTTTTTAATTGAATTCTTATCTCATTTCTTATATCAGAATTTAACTCTGAATATATTAGATTTAATGTCAAAAATGAAAACTTTAAAAACAGTTTACTTATTTGCCTATGTTGTGTCTTAGTCGTGGCATGTGAGATCTTCTTCCCTGCGGCATGCGGGATCTTCTGTTATGCCGTGCAGGCCCAGAAGTCGTGGCCCTCGGGCTTAGTTGCCTTGCAGTATGTGGGATCTTAGTTCCCAGACCAGGGGTCAAACTCGCATCCCCTGCATTAGAAGGCAGATTCTTAACCACTGAATCACCAGGGAAGTCCCCCAAATGAAAACTCTTAGAAATATTAAAAGGTAAGGAAATGAGCATAGAGTGTTTATAATCATGAAGTGAGTAGGAAACCATTAAAGAACCATAGGTTTCATCTAAAAATGTAAGACTTTAGTGTGCGATAAAATCATAACAAACTTACGAGACAAAAACCAAGATCACATTAATGACGCTACAGCGACGTCCAGATCTTAATGTAGACAAGAGGTGTGTCTGTGAGACTGTGATCCAGTTATGCCAAAATCCCTTTACCTGTCAGACACTTGGGGTTTGTTCATTTCTTTTGTTATTTGCTCCAGAGACAAAACAGTTGACACTAACAAAACTGAAAATAATCTCTTTGACTTTCTCAGGATCACAGTAATATGATCCATCAAGCTCCTGCCCTAGTGCCCTTATCTCTACCACTGTGAGGAAGGAAGTTCATTGTACCTCACCTGGTTTCCTGCCCACAGCCACTCTGCCAGAATGATCTTTCACGAGTAAATCACCCTCTTGGTAAAATCCTTTGTTGGCATCCACTGGTTCTCAGAAAAAGACAAGCCTTATTACGACCTGTATAATCTGGCTCCTGCCTAAACTTGCCAGCTGCCTGTCACCCTTTGCTCTCAGCACTTCTGCCACGCTGGCCCTTCAGGGCCTTCCCTTGACGGCTTCCTCTGCTGCAGCCTGCACACCATCTGCACCCGTTCCCTCTTGTGCCTTCTCATCCCACTTCACTCAGTTAACAGCAGTTCGTGTGTGTCTGAACTTTAGCGTGATTTCTCTCAAGAGGCTTGAACTGGTCACATCCCATTACAGGCTGTCCTCGCTTGTTCTTCTCACTTTGAAGACCACATTTGCAGTTTTATATTTATTTATGTGGTTATTTCTGTTCTCCCTACTAAATTGTAAGCTCCAGAAAGACAACGATTCTTTCCAGGTTTATTCATTTTTATATCCCCACAGTCCCTGATAAGTAAATAGTAAATAATAGCAATGAATATATGTAGGTTGGAAGGGATAACTAACATCCCTTCTAGAAAGAGGGATTTTTGATCTGTGATTAATCTCCCTTGAACGTTAAATGAAAAGAGAAAGCTAGAAATAAATTATGTGGGCTAGATCCCTACTTGCTTAGTATATAACTGTGTGTGTAATTCATTTATGAATCGATCTCAGTTTTCCATTTAATGTTTAGAACCAGATCTCTAGTGAGACAACCAGTAAGTAGTGATGAAGTTCAAACAAGACTGGGAAAGAGATGAAATGGTAGGAGAACCTTTTCCACTGCCAATAATATGTTTTTAAACCTGTTATTATGGAAAATTTCAAACATATACAGAGGCAAACAGAGTAATAGAGTAATTGCAGGTACCCTATATACTTTGTCCTCTGATTTTATTTTTGGAAAAGATCCCAGACATCATCATTTTTTGCTTAAATATTAAATACTTCACTGTGTATTTCCAGAATATAACATTTTTTTAATTGAAATGTAGTTGATTCCTAATATTGTTAGTTTCAGGTATACAGCAAAGTGATTCAGTTATATTGTATTTTTTCCAATTCTTTTCCATTTTAGGTTATTACAAGATATTGAATATAATTCCCTAGGGCTTCCCAGATGGTGCTAGTGGTAAAGAACTTGCCTGCCAGTGCAGGAGACAAAAGAGATGCGGGTTTGATCCCTGGGTTGGGCAGATCTCTAAGGCGTGGCAACCCACTTCAGTGTTGTTGCCTAGAGAATCCCACGGACAGAGGAGCCTGGCAGGCTATGGTCCATAGGGTCACAAAGAGTTGGACGTGACTGAAGCGACTTAGCATGCGCACATGCACATACTATAAAGTAAATCCTTGTTTATTTTGTATATATCTGTTAATCCCATACTCCTAATTTATCCCTCCTCCCATTTCCCCTTTGATAACTATAAGTTTGTTTTCTGTGTCTAAGAATACTTTCTTTTAAATTGAAAATACAATTAATTTACATTATTGTGTTTTAGCTCTAGAGCAAAGTGATTCAGTAACATATACATATTTTTTGGATTATTTGTATCTGTTGATCCCATACCTTTAATTTGTCCTTCTCTGTCGTCTGTGGTAACCGTAAGTTTGTTTTCTGTGTCTGTGAGTCTATTTCTGTTTTGTATGTAGATATATTTGTATTATTTTTTAGACTGTACGTATAAGTGATCTCATATAATGTCTGTCTTTGTCTGACTCCCTCACTTAGTATGGCATTCTCTAGCTCCATCCATGGTGCTGCATGTGGCAGTATTTCATTCTTTTTTGTGACTTCTCAAACCATTGTATCTTCTTAAAACCATCATCTGTTGATGGGTACTTGGGTTCTTTCCATGTCTTGGTTATTATAAATAGTGTTGCTGTGAACATTTGGGTGCATTTATCTTTTCAGATTAGAGTTTTCATCTTTTTTGGATTTATGCCCAAGAGTGAGATTGCTGGATCATGTGGTAACTCTATTTTTAGTTTTTTAAGAAACCTCCATACCATTTTTCATTGTGGCTGTACCAATTTATATTCCCACTAACAGTGTAGGAGGATTTCCTTTTCTCCACATGCTCTCCAGACTTTTTGCTTTGATGGTGGCCATTTTTAATTTGAATTTCTCAGTAATCAGTGATGTTGAGCGTCTTTTCATGATTTGTTGGCTATCTGTATGCCTTTTGAAGGAATGTCTGTTTAGGTCTTCTGTCCATCCTTTGATTTTGTTGCTTTTATTTTTAATTTTTATTTTTTTGATACTGAGTTGTATGAGCTGTTTGTACATTTTGGATATTGACTGTCAATCAAATATTTTCTCCCAGTCTGTAGGCTGTGTTTCTGTTTTGTTGATAGTTTTCTTTACTGGAAAAAATCTTTTTAAGTTTGACTAGGTCCCATTTGTTTATTTTTGCTTTTATTTGTTTTCCCTTGGGAGACTGATCTAAGAAAATATTGCTATAATTTGAGACTATGAGACTATTTTGCCTATGTTTTCTTCCAGAAGTTTTATGGTATAATGTCTTATACATATGTCTTTAAAACAATTTGAGGGGTTTTTTTGGCTTGTTTGTTTATGGTGTGAGGGTGTGTGCTGACTTCACTGATTTACATGTAGCTGTCCAGCTTTCCTAGTGTCACTGGCTGAAAAGACCGTCTTTTCTCCGTTGTGTGTTCTTACCTCCTTTGTCAAGGATTAATTGACTGTAGGTATGTGGGTTTACTTCTGGGCTCTCTATTCTGTTCTTTTGGTCTGTGTGTCTATCTGTCATGTTTTTGTACAAATGCCATGCTGTTTTGATTACTGTAGCTTAGTAGTATTGTCTGAAGTCCTAAAAAGCACTCTTCAGATTTAATGCAATTCCTGTCAAGATGCCTATGACATTTTTCACAGAACTAGAACAAATAATACTAAAATTTCTATTGGAACCACAAAAGCAGTCCTGCAGCCAGAGGACACCTAGAATACATAACTATTATGCCATTATTACACTCCCAAAGAAGCTAACAGTAGTTCCTCGGTAGCATTAGATGACTAGTCAGTATTCAAATTTGCAGTTGTTTCATAAATGTCATAATTTTTAAATTTATTTGACACAAGAGCCAGATAAAGTTCATGCACAGAGATTGGTTAATGTGTCTTTGAAGTTTCTTTTAATCTATAGATTTCTTCTTTGTCTCTTAGATTTTTGCTGTATATTTATTGAATAACCAAAGTTATTTGTCTTCTCAAGTTTTCCATAGTCTGAATTTTGCTAGGAACATCTGCATGGTGAAGTTTGACCTATCTCTCTGTCTTCTGTATTCCCTGTAAATTGGTATTGGGTCTAGCAATGTGATCAGATTTGGTCTCAGGCCCTCATTCTATGGCTGAGACTTTCATAGGTAGCATAGTGGTCTTCCACCAGGAAGCACATAACACCTCGTGGGCTCTCTTTTTGTAATATTAACAGCATTTATACTTAATGTCTACCTTTATTAATTCACTAAGGGTTGTAGAATTAGCTGTAGTACTTTAATAAAGAGAAACTTCTCATCTACTGTTGGACCACTTCCATGTACCATCTGTATGAAAAAAGGCAAGGTGAGGAGGGTGCTTGCTTCTTTTGCTTCTTCTCCCTCTTACACAGTTTCACAGAGAGTTGGAGACTGTTGCTACCTTTATGGTGAACTTTTTAGAGTCACTTTGTTTTGTTTTCTCAGAAAAATACTGTTTTTGAGTCCCTTCCTAAAGTGAGCAAGCAGATAATAGAAGAGGGATTTGTACCCAGCAAGTGTAGTTGAAATTGACTGTGTCCCAGCTGTACTGATTGAACTGCCAGGCATAGTCCTTCTTGGGCCCCTCGGCACACATTTGAGTGCCTCTGGTGGCAGTGGATATTGAAAGGTGGATAAAGGAGGACCAGAAAATAGAGAGGTGCTTGATTCTAATGTGTGTTGAAAAGGAGATGCAGGTCAGAAGCAACAGTTAGAACCAGACATGAAACAACAGACTGGTTCAAAATCTGGAAAGGAGTACATCAAGGCTGTATATTGTCACCCTGCTTATTTAACTTATATGCAGAGTACATCATGCGAAATGCCAGGCTAGAAGACTCACAAGCTGGAATCAGGATTGTTGGAAGGAATATCAGCAACCTCAGATATGCAGATGATACCACTCTAATGGCAGAAAGTGAAGAGGAACTAAAGAACCGCTTGATGAGGGTGAAAGAGGAGAGTGAAAAAGCTGGCTTAAAATTCAACATTCATAAAATGAAGATCATGGCATCCTGTCTTACCATTTCATGGCAAATAGATGGGGAAAAGTGGGAACAGTGGCAGATGTTATTTTCTTGGGCTCCAAAATCACTGCTAATGGTGACTGCAGCCATGAAATTACAAGACACTTGCTCCTTGGGAGAAAAGCTATGACCAACCTAGACAGCATATTAAAAAGCAGAGGCGTCACTTTGCCAACAAAGGTTCATAGAGTCAAAGCTGTGGTTTTTATAGTAGTCATATACGGATGAGAGAGTTGGACTGTAAAGAAGGCTGAGCAGTGAAGAATTGATGGTTTTGAACTGTGGTGTTGGAGAGGACTCTTGAGAGTCCCATGGACTACAAGGAGATCAAACCAGTCAATAGTAAATGAAATCAACCCTGAATATTCATTGGAAGAACTGATCCGGAAGCTCCAATACTTTGGCCACCTGATGCAAAGAGGCAAGTCATTGAAAAAGACCCTGATGCTGGGAAAGATTGAGGACAAGAGGAGAAGGGGACGAAGGAGGATAAGATGGTTGGATGGCTTCACCAACTCAAAGGACATGAGTTTGAGTAAACTCCAGGAGATAGTGAAGCACAGCTTGGCATGTTGCAGTCCATGGGGTCACAGAGAGTCAGACATGGCTTAGCGACTGAACAATAACCATTTCTTACAGGTTACTGCTTCTCTGGTCCCTCTGAAGGATGTTGCTGCAGGCTTAATCATAATAAAAAGGCCCAGGAAAGATTCTCAAGACTCAAGTTCTGGCTTATAGGTAGTATGGGTATGGGAATGTTCTCTTGGAATCTCCTTATAATAAATCCATCTAGGTTTCTAGCTAGAGAGTTGGGGAGAGCAGAGTAGAGAGTGTCCCAAAATCAAGAATCTGTATAGAAAGATACGAAGTCTGAAGCTTAAAGGTGATTTGATGTCTACACTGAAATGAATGTCAGAACATGTTTCATCGTAGACATGGGTTTTTCCTTGCTTTGTAATGTAAGCTGTTGTTTCTCTTCTGTTTCAAACAATATGTTAGTTATCTATTGCTGCCTGACAGATTTAGCAGCTTAAATCAGCAACCATTTATTATGTCTATAGGTCAGGAATCCTGGTGCAGCTTAGCTGAGTGCCCCTGGTTCAGGGTCTCTCATAGGCTGCGGTCGCCATGTTGGCTGGGGCCACAGTCATTTCAGGATTGGATGAGGGGAGGGTCTGCTTCTGAACTCACCATGTGACTGTTGGCAGGCCTGAGACACCCGGGCTGTCGGCCAGTGGTGTCATCTCTTGCCACCAAGGCCTCTACAAAGAGCAGTTCATAGTGCGGCATCTGGCCACCGTCAGAGGAGCAGAAGAGAGGGCGTCCAGGACGGGAGCCAGTCTTTGTAAACTTACCTTCAAACTGACTTCTCGTCACATCTTTAGCAGTCTGTTCGCTAAAGCCTTACACAGAATCTGGCCTGCACTTAACCGCAGGAGTCGTTCATAAGGTGGCGAATTCTAGAAGACAAGGCTCCTTACGGGTTGTGTTACATCCTCACTGCCAGAAGCAGTCAAGTATTTAGATATGCTTAAAGACAGTATGCTTGCTTCAGCATAAGGAGTCATTCATTCCCTCCTGTAGATCAAAAGCAGCCCTTTGCCAAAATTTCCTTAAAAGTCTCCCACCTGCTCTCTTTATCTTGAGTCTTGGTCCCTCAACTCCATCCTCCTCATTGCAATCAGAAGAGGCTCTTAATCTCCAAGTGAGTCAGCTTCTCTCTGTGTGTGCGTCTCTCTCTCTCTCTCTCTCTCTCTCTCTCTCTCTCTCTCACAGGCACACACACATGTGCACATTCTTTGTGACCTGTGCTTAGGGCCTCTGCCTCATCTGAGCTGCTGTGTGGCTAACCCTCCTCTTTTTTAAGGAGACACCTCTCTGTCGTTCACAGTCAGACAGCCCTTTACTCTATAATCCCGAACTGAGTGCCCGCCACTCCTGTCTGCACACCTGTGCTCGTCAAGGCACTGTGTGTTTACATGTTGAGCAACCTGTCTAGGCTCCGTATGCAGCGAGGGTGGGGGTGTCTTACTCACTCACGTTCCTACAGACTAGCATTGCACCAAGAAAGCACAGAAATGGTATGGACGTAACAAGCAGAAGATGCTAAGAAGAGGTGGCAAGAATACACAGAAGTGCACAAAAAAGACCTTCGTGACCCAGATAACCACGATGCTGTGGTCACTCACCTAGAGCCAGACATCCTGGAGTGTGAAGTCAAGTGGGCCTTGGGAAGCATTTCATCACTCAAGGGGGCTTTCCTCTAGCCAGTGTGTATTTAACTGAATATGGTTTCATGCCTTTTGATTTGGGAAAGAATATTACTCTTAGAATGTCTTCAGTGTTTGGTTTCTTCTACATTGTACTTTGTCTTTTACAACAGTTTCTTTTCTTTCCTTCAGTCTTTCTCTAAATTCTACTCAAGTTTATAGATAAAAATACTCATTTTGAGCAGTTATAAACGTTCACCCTTTGATGGTATATTTAGCTATTTACCCTAAAGACAGTTCATTTGGAGTATCTTAGCATGAAGCTAGCTATATTTATCTATAATCTAAACTATACTGCCTATAATTTGCTTAATTTCTAGGGGTCAAGTACACGAATAGATCATGAAACAGCCAGTGTTTTGAGCTCTAGTAGCACACATTCTGCTCCTCGAAGGCTGACCAGTCATCTGGGAACCAAGGTAACGGATTATAGAGTCTTATTGCTAGAACTCTGAGTGCTCTACTAAAACATTCTTCATGCTTCTTTTAATTTTGGCTTAAGGACTCTTTTGTTTCCATCATCGCAGTCTCTTAAAGAAATGACAGCCAGGTCTCTGCAAGCATCCTGAGGTGCCGCCCACAGCTGGCTCGCCCCGAGCCCTCCCCTCCCCGTGACTTTCTGCCTGGCTGCCCTGGCTGCGGAGGTGCAGCCCTCCACTTCCCACCCCGCTGCACGGCGACCCTCAGGCTCCTCGCCAGCCTGCAGAACCCTTCTTGGGCTTTCCTTCTTTACAGAGTGCCTTCTGACCCAGGGCCCTCGCGCCTGCCCATGCAGTCTGTGTCTGCCTCCTTTGAAGCACTGCATTTGGAGCACGGGGACTGTTTTTTAAACAGTATATTTTCTGTTACATCTAAATACTTCCTTGTTTTCATAGCATATTCTACATACTCTTTCTTTACTTTAGTAATATAATGGCTCTGAGGAAAAGCATTACATAACTAATGTTGATATAAGAAATGAATTTTAGAGTAGCAGTGATATTATTAATATAAAGCTTAATCCTTTTAGTAACTCACAATAGTTACTACTTGGGATCACTAATATGCCAGTAACTGCTAAGAGTTGTACATAAACTATCTCTGATCTTTTCCAAAACCCTTTGAATGTATTATTATTGCCCCTCTTTTTTTTTTTTTCCTAAGATAAATTCTTTTTTTTTTTTTTTTATTTATTTTTATTAGTTGGAGGCTAATTACTTTACATCATTGCAGTGGGTTTTGTCATACATTGAAATGAATTAGCCATGGATTTACATGTATTCCCCATCCCGGTCCCCCCTCCCACCTCCCTCTCCACCCGATCCCTCTGGGTTTTCCCAGTTCTTGCCCCTCTTTTAAGTGAGAATACTGAAGCCAAAAAGATGGTAATTAAATTAGAATTCCACCCAGTCTGTCCAACATAAGTAGTTTTTATTATAAAGAAAACCTTTAATATTTAAGAGTACTATTTCTTGAAAACTGGCAACTTGAATACCATTTCCTTTTGGAGTGATTTTTTGCACTATAATATTAAGACCTTACTACATTTTTGAATGCCAGTTACTGTCCTGTATACATGTGTGACTTTACTTAATCTTCACAAAGAAAACCCTATTAGGTAAATTACTCCGTTTTGCAGCTGAGACAGCTGGACCTCAGAGAACTCCGGTAACTTGGTTGTGTCACACAGCTCACTTGCAAATAGTAAGACATTGCCAGAAGAGTCTCAAGGTGGCTAAAGTTGTCCCTGGTTTGGAACCACTAATTTATAGATATGATGCATTTATATAATAGCCTCAACTTTCATGCAGTAGCTCTTGCTTTTAAAAAATGTGGTTGATCACAGGACAGGATGACTGGGTGCTATTTCCTGTTTCTGATCTGCTTCTGAGTAAATTCTTGGAATTTACAGTAAGGGAGTAATGATGCTTACCAGCTGCTTAAAAAAAAAAAAAAGAAGAATATTGACTTTGTATCTCTGTATGATCAGGGATCATCCCTATATGATCCCTTTATGACAAAATAATTTACATGTATAAGGGAGACATCATAATTTTAACAATATTACAATCTGGTGACGGTTAGCAATTGCTTAGAACCAGTACTTAGTAAATAGTAATTGCTAAAAAACATTTTCTCTTCACTGATTATGGTTGTAGATTTTAAAAAGTAAAATTTTTAATTGTGTAAAGAATTTTAGATAAACCACATTTCTTGCTCTGTATGTGTTGGTAGGGGTGTGTGTGTGTGGTGGGTGGGGGAGATGTGAGAAAGAGAAAAATCAGTTGATTGTCTTTCATTATGATAACAGATTATCACCCACTGATCCAGACAATAGCAGTTTAGGTATACAAGAACCTACTGTCTGCTTATGACTATATACTACCACTACTAATATTTACTCATAAAGAAGATGGTGATAATGATTATAGCAATATGGATTTTGAAATAACGCTCATTACTTCATCCTGGAAAGAGATTTTTGTTTTTGTTTCTGTTTTTGTTTGAGTTACAACTAGTATCCCATTCATCACTTCATTGGTGTTGGCTTTTGGCTATTAAAGTCATAATTTTGTTTCTAAACCCATTTGGCCCACAGGTGGAAATGGTGTATTCATTGTTGTCAATGCTTGGTACTCATGATAAGGATGATATGTCGCGAACTCTGCTAGCTATGTCTAGCTCCCAAGACAGCTGCATATCCATGCGACAGTCTGGATGTCTTCCTCTCCTCATCCAGCTTTTACACGGCAGTGACAAAGACTCGGTGTTGTTGGGAAATTCCCGGGGCAGTAAAGAGGCTCGGGCCAGGGCCAGTGCAGCACTCCACAACATCATTCACTCACAGCCTGATGACAAGAGAGGCAGGCGTGAAATCCGAGTCCTTCATCTTTTGGAACAGATACGAGCTTACTGTGAAACCTGTTGGGAGTGGCAGGAAGCCCATGAACAAGGCATGGACCAGGACAAAAATCCAAGTATGTTCCATATGGTGCATGTGACAAAGCAAATGTAAAAGTTTTTGAAATGAAAAGCTTTTTAATTAGGACGGTGTCTTTATGAATCAGAGTGGGAAATTCATATTATCCACCTGCACTGCTCACATAGTTTAAAGCTTAATTTCTCTATTTCCCTAGAAAAAAAGTTAGCAAAGGAAAATGTTGTGTGCACTACAGTGCAACCAGAAAATAACAGAAAATCAAAGTAGACTTAAACAGTCATAGCATAGTTGATCTAGAAAGAACTTGAGTGATTATGTTCTCCTTCTCTTGAGATTAAGCTCAGGAAAGTGACTTTACGTAAGTTCCTTCAGCTGTGAGTGACCAAGCCGTTCTCTTATATTTGCATATCGCTTTACTCAGTGGATGCAGAGCTGTGTTACATCTGTTATTTGATCCTTACAACAACCTTGTGAAGTAGGAAGGGAAGATATTACCATCTTCATTTTACAGATGAAGAGACTGAGGTTCAGAGAGGCCAAAAGACTTGCCTGTGGCTTCACAGGTAGTGGGTGGGGGATCCAGGACCAGAGGCCAGACCCCCCGACCCTCAGCCCAGTGTCCTTCCCACTTTAGTGTCTTGTCTTCAGGCCTTGGGGCCCCAGCTGCTGGCGTGATCAGCCACCCAGCTCTTTTCTCAGGGAGAAACCCTCTCCCCCAGGAGCAGGGGTCATGGGAGTTGGGACCCTTGGGGAGATAAGTTACTTCATTCCTATAGGAAGAGCCAAAAGCAGTAAGTATATAAGGTAAGACCTCCTTTCACCTGATAAGAACCCACACACAGACATACACACAACAAACGACTATCGAGTCAATATCTTGATTGGGGGAGCAGGAGAAAGACTGATGATGAGAACTTGATCTATAAAGATTTAGTAGATTTCTCTTAGGGTTACGTATAAAGGTGAATTTATTTAAAATTAAACATTTTTCAACAGTAAGAATATAGCAGAAATGTCCTTTCTGTTTGTCCTAGGGCTAGGGAGAATTAATAAGTTGCTTTACTGGGAGAACATTATCTTTCTGGATTGTTTTCTTTGGCTGTCCACAATTATGTAATGACTTGTATTGTGTGCTCTTAATACCTGTTCTCAGAAAAGTTAAATAGAATAAATACTATTACTTCTGAAAAATAGACTTGGTTTTTCAATTTATATTTCAAGTAACAGTTTTGAAACTTTATGCATAACACTAAATGTGCAAGTACATTTTCTTAGACACTTTTCCTTTAAATTTTTATTTACTATCTGGTGTCTATATAATAAACTTTCTCTACTAGAGTTGCACTAGGTTTCTCTATACATTTCTATACAGCCATGTGCCTTTCAGCTTTGAAAATAGAAATTATAAATAGTTTTATACCAAAATGTTTTTATTATTTCAAATAACCAGTATAATTTTTAAGTTATTAGTTGAATTATAGCATAAACCTACATGGGAGTTAGTCCAGCAGACTTGGTGAAAGGCTGGTGAGGGGTAAACATTTTTACAGAACCAAGGAAAGCCCTTTACCTGTATTTTCCTTTCCATGTGTATAGTAGTTATTCATCTCTTCAGCAAATACTTGTTGATTCACTAAGCTACCATGCATGATAAGTATATCTGCAAACTCAGTATTTACTTTTAGGTATAATAAACATCACTACTTTGAGAAAACAAAGCATTATGGTTTATGTCAACTTTATTTTTCAGTGCCAGCTCCTGTTGAACATCAGATCTGTCCTGCTGTGTGTGTTCTAATGAAACTTTCATTTGATGAAGAGCATAGACATGCAATGAATGAACTTGGTAAGATAAAAATGTTTCTTAATGCCATAGAAGAATCCTGAAGATTTTTCGTCATTGTTGAATTAGGATATAAGGCCACTAACTTCTATTACCATCTGTTTCTTCCTTGTAGCAAGTGACTGGTTTCCAGAGAAGACAATGTCCTAAGTGACAGAAACTGCTACCCTTTTATAGCCTAACTTGGGTTTTTAAAATCTTAGCCAGAGATGGGCAAAAATAAATAAATAAATGGGCCACTCTTGCCAATATTGTCAAGGTAGACTCTGGGTGACAGTTGGTGGGAGGGTAATTTGAATCGTTTTGAGATGATGATGATGTGGAGCTTTGTAATTATTCTTGAACTCAGTCACTTCTGATGGACACAGGAAGGAATTATTATTAAGATTCTCATTTATCTTCATGGTTATCCGTACTTTACTGGATTTTCATGATAAGCAGTGTGGTTGATATCTCTGAAATTTGTTAATAATGGAAAAGCATTATTCTCTAATTTATGTTAGAAAACATTCCATTAATTTTGGAAGGATTACTCTTAGTATGTGTTCTCACATACTCTGAACCTTACAGAACCTGCCTCTGTGGCCCCCATTTTTCATGTGATGGTTTCTCTTTGGTTTCTAGGTTCATTTTGCACATGTGGTATTTGTAAGTTGCATCATGCTGAGCCATCTCATGTGAACCTGGATCGCTGTAGTCGTGCCACAAGCAAGAAGCACGCACTGAGTCTCCATCTTGGTGTAGCTGTGCCCTTGCTTTTTGTGCTGTTTACGTTACCTTTCATTCCAGGCCCCGCTTTGCATCCCTGCCACCCTTACCATTTTCATTCATCATTTATCTTAAAAGTGACAAAGTTGTGAGTCTCTTAAGACGCAGAGAACCTGAGCAGCGGCTGAGAATGAGTGCTGTCCCCTTGAGACCGTCATTTTGGGAGGCTGTGTGTACTTGGTCTCCGCCTGCCCCCAGCTGTACGTTTCTCCCCACAGGCCCTAGCCCACTTGATTCTCTTCCCGTATTCCCCAGGTTCCTGTGAAATTGAGTATGCACTTGTGAGTTCTCCCCTCCTCAATACAATCCAGCATTGGTGAAATTTTAAGTTTGGGTGGTTTTTGGGGTTTTTTTTTTTAACACTCATAATAATGAGGAAAATAATGAACAAACAGGAAAACTAATCCAGTTTTAAGCTCCCACAAATGTTTTTTCTAAATGTCCCTGTGTTCCAATGAACTGTAGACTAGGACTGACCCACATTAATCATCTGAATTTCCAAGTGAAATCTAGACTCAGTATTTGTTCCTCTTCCTTCTTCAGGTAGGAAGGCTACCCGGGGCATTTCATCCCAGGAGCTAGGGCAGGGGCTTTCAGGTGAGGAGCAGGATGGGGCCTCTGGGGGTGTGACTGTGGGGATGTAGCCACAGGGGATTACCTTCTCACTCCTAGCCTCTGACTTTGCGTTGGAGCCAAAGAAGAAACAAGGTGTGTAGACTGTGGATAGATACAGTCAGGTAGCACAAGGGATCTGACAGTGAGAGATAGGAGGAAAGAAGTCCCAAGTAGATGAAGAAAAATTCCTAAGCCCAGTCAGCTAGGACTGTCTTTTGTAGATGCAAGAAAATTCTACAACCATTAGGGTCATTTAAGTTTGCAACTATTAGTGTTGCAAGTTTTAGACTATAATACCAGGAATGTACACATTTATTAATTTCCAACTCCATCCTAGAAACTGTGCTAGGCACTAGATAAAAAAAATGAAATCCAGTAAGTGGCCCAGGTGATTCTTATGATCAGGAAAGTTTGTGAAACTACCAACATATAGAATATTGTTGCTGAACCCTACTTATTTTAGAATGAGGTATTTCATGCTAATGGTGACTGTCTAAACCAAGTAAAAGAAAATTAATATACTTTTTAAAAATTCTGTCATCTTTCTATTATCTTGTTTTGAATAAGTTTAAGAATTTTGGTAAATGTCACCTGAAGACATTGATCATCTACTATCTATAAGGTTATGAGATACCATATGAGATAATATTTGGTTCATCTGGACAACTATTCTCTAACACATACACGAAGAAAATGTGGAAGGATGTGCTCATGACCTTTACAGTCCCTTGAAACATCCTAGTATTTCTTAGGGCAACCAATTTTTTTTTCCTATCTGTCATGAATTCACATATTTTTGTGAATCCATTTTTAAAGTGTATAGATTCTTTGCCTTAAAGTTCACTGGAAGTTTTTTTTTGTTAACTCCTGGAAATCATAAAGGGTCTCTCTCTTTTATCTAATACACTAAGTTTTATTGAACGTTCTTTTTTCATTAGCATGTTCTTCATCATTTTATTGGCATTAATCATGTTGTTCCTTAATCATTGTTTTCAGAATCAAGTCCTAACATTTTTGGTTTTTCCATACAAAAGTAGTCAAGGGCCTTCTTGGGAGGTTCTTGAGATTATTTCTCATGTTACTTTCTTAGAACAGTGTCACATATGCGGCTGTGCCAGGCAGGATTTTATGTAGGCATGAAGCAGAGGGTGCTCTGTATGGCTTGATGGTCCACTTTGTAATTCTCAATATTTGGTGATCTGATCAGTAACAGGGCCACTGTCTTTAGGTAACAGTGACTTCCAGGTCTGTTTCCTAGTCAAGACAATAGCTCCTCCTTTACGAAGGATTAAATAGCGGAATGTCCTGAAGCTCTGTACTAGGCTTTCTTCCACTCTTCCTGGGCTATATACTCCACTGCGCGGCTTCCCTGACCATGTTTTTCAAGCTCACATCTTAATCCATGTCCTCTCTCCTGAGATTTACACACATTTTCTTACTGCTCCTCCAGGGTTTTCACCGAGATGATTTTTCAGACATTTCTGACTAAACTGACAGAAACTGAGTCTGTCTCCTCCATCCCCAAAACTGTCTCTTGACCAGGGTTCCTTTTCTCAGACGGTAGCCTTTCCGTCAACCCACTTGCTGAAGCCAGAGTCTTAGACTCTTGGACTCTATTCCTGTTTCTTTGACTCTATCCCTGTCCCCTATATCTGCTAACTGCTTTAATTCTGGCTCTTAAATACATCCTACACCACTGCTATTCTTTTTATCCCCAGCACAAGCAAAGCCTCTTTCTTCACTCCTAGTCTCCACAGTCTGTCTTACTTGGCTCCCCACTTCCAATCGTAATCATTTCTATAGCCTTAATCTGTTTAGAACATACATCTGATTATTCTTTTCTCCTGCATTAAATCCTTGGTGAGGTACATAAAGTCTTGTATTACCTGGCATTTTTGTAGCCTCTCCTCGTTGCTGTATGTTAATGTTTCAGGCCCAGCAGCCCTTACACATGCTCTTTTATCTGCTTGAAATGCTTCCTTACTGTTTCTCCTCTACCCTTTTTAGATAGTCATTCATCCTTTAAGTCTCAAGTTAAACCTTAGTTCCTCAGCCACTTTCTTGATCCTTCCAGTCTACGTTAGGTTTGCCTCTTTATCATGCCCCGTGCTTCTACACAATCATGACATTTAAATTAGTTGTTCGATGGCTGTCTGTACTAATCTGTAAGCTCCATAGAGACATTGGCGGTTTTGTTCATTGGCTGTTTTGTTCATGGACTATTTATCTTTCCCATTATCATGGGTGGATGGGGGAAAATCTTCCTAAATATGGTTCGGATTTTCCTTAACCAAATTAATTTTTATTTACCTACATTCAGACTTATCTGTCACTGGTGCCAGTTATAAAGATTTACACAAATGTTCCAAGAGTTAAATCCCTGGCTTGGCATTCTTGACCAAAAATTGAACTTGGTCTGTTTTGCAAACTTGCTGATTGCTCTGCATACTGATCCTTCTAGATCATTTACAAAAATAATGAATGTACAGATCCTCTTTCAGATTAATGACCTGACAGTTTAGACTTATAGTATCCAAGAATTACCTGTTTATATTCATCATATCTCCGGTTTCAGCATGATTAATATTGATGATGAATAATATGTTGAATAACCTTCATATGCATTTTTATTTTTCTTTTTATTCACTCCCTCACCATCTTGCTTCACCTTTTGTCCTGCTGTTTTGTGTTGTCTTTCTGCTACCCCTTCCTTTATGTCTTTTCCTTTCCTTTCCCTTAATTTTTCTCCTTGCCTTCCTACTGTTGACCACTGTGGACATTGTTAAGTATACCCAGTGGTGGAAATCAAGGGGAAAGAAAATACTAAATCCTAGTATTGGTATTTGACACTTTGTGTGTATCAAAGAAAAGTAAGAATTTAAAAAGAAAAAACATAAAAATGGTTCTATACAGCTTAGTAATAAGTTGAACAGGTAATTCTTTTTCATAGAAAAAATATAAGCTTTGCTTCATGCACTATTTCACTTAGAAGTTTTAGTATTCCTAATGATACTAAAAATTATTTTGGAGATAAAAATATATTAAAGTAATTAGGCCACAGTGTGTGACAGTGAAGAATGTTTATAAAGCCCTAGTAATAAAGTTATCTTTTTCTGCTTACATTCAAGAGGACCTAATAGTAGAAAATAGTCTTCTTATTCCTTGACAGGATAGAGTATATTGCAGTAAACAGAGTATTCAGTAAGACAGGGGGCTGGAGGGTGGAGAAACTGGCAGAAAATGAAATAGTTGTCACTTGTACTTGATAAGTATATTACACAAGAGTGCTTCATAACATTTTTTGTAGCTTGTAATTCTGAAGACAGAATTAAACCATGTATTCTCATTCTTTGAGATTTTTCTCTAGTAATTTATAAACTTGGTAACCATTTGTGTTATTTTAGATTACTGTCTTTTTCCTCTTGCCCTTTTTAAATTAGGGGGACTACAGGCCATTGCAGAATTATTGCAAGTGGACTGTGAAATGTATGGGCTTACTAATGACCACTACAGTATTACTTTAAGACGATATGCAGGAATGGCTTTGACAAACTTGACTTTCGGAGATGTAGCCAACAAGGTATGTTTTATAAGATCCATTTCTTAAGATAGCAAGATAGCTCTTTTTTTCCATACAGACTACTTTTCACTTTCTTTTTTGTCACTCTCCTCATTAAACACTGACTAATAAGAACCTGTACTTTATATTCCACTGCAATATCCTTACTCATTTGATGTCTAATGCCTAAACAAAGGCAAAAGATGGAACCGAGAAGTGAATTTATGTAATCGCACTTAAAGCCCTGTTCCTGGGCAGACTTCCCTGGTGGCCCTGCAGTTAAGACTCCGCTCTTCCACCACAGGGAGCACAGGTTCAATCCCTGATTGGGGAACTAGGATCCCATGTACCGCCTAGTGAGGCCAAAAAGTAATTTAAAAAAAAATACTGTTCTTGGGAATGACAGTAAAAATCTGGAAATCTTGATGATTGGTGCAAGTGTCAGACACATATTAGTTCCATCCAAATAAAAGACTTTATGTTCAAACCCTTTTCTTATCGTTTCTTGTCATTTATTCACTTTATTTTTCCAGTTTGCCAAGAAAGGAATGAATATTACAAAGGATTAGGAGGGTATTTGTCTTTCATTTATGTAATCTATGGTTCTAGTTCTTTTATGGCATTAGGATTAAAATGAGACAATTGAAACTTGATTTGACGTTTTCTGGTTAAAAATAGAGCACAGCTCCAGGTTGCCTTGTTATTAACCCTGTGTAATCCTTGACGTTACAGGCTACCCTCTGCTCTATGAAAGGCTGCATGAGAGCACTCGTGGCTCAACTAAAATCTGAAAGTGAGGACTTACAGCAGGTACTTCTAAGAATTCCACATGTTTTTCTTGGATATTAGTGGCTTAATACCCTGATTTAGATTAATTTAAGCTGTGACTCAGTATTTAGCACCTCATGTTTAAATTGTGGCTACATTAACACCAGAATAGAGGAAAAGAATTTTATTGTAGACTTCCTTTTGGCTCAGTAGTAGCTTTAAGAAGAAATTTATTTATTAATAGATTTCTACTCTTACTTTTGGGCTTCCCAGGTGGTGCCTGTGGTAAAGAACCCACCTGCCAGTGCAGGAGACATAAGAGACACGGGTTTGATCTCTGGGTCTGGAAGATCCCCTGGAGGAGGGCATGGCAGTCCATTCCAGTATTCTTGCCTGGAGAGTCCCATGGACAGAGGAGCCTGGTGGGCCACAGTCCATAGGGTTGCAAAGAGTCAGACACAACTGAAACAACTTAGCATGCATGCACGCACTCTTACTTTTAACATTAAGAGCAAGAAAGCAACCAGTATAAATAATTTTATAAACAAACTATTCTAAAATTGATCCATTTGCAGGTTATTGCAAGTGTTTTGAGGAATCTGTCTTGGAGAGCAGATGTAAATAGTAAAAAGACTTTGCGTGAAGTTGGAAGTGTGAAAGCACTGATGGAATGTGCTTTGGAAGTGAAAAAGGTACCTTTGAGAACATTTGGTATTGCCGTATGCATTTCATCTTTGGACACTTTTTCGCTGCCCTCCCCCACCTCTGAAACTCACTCATTTCTGACCCTCTTAAGAGCTCACCAGTCCCTAGACTTAGACCGCCCCAAGCTCTGCAAGCATGAAGGCAGACAGGACTGCACGGGTGACCCAGTGTAAATCAGGGCTTTCAGACTCAGCTCTGTTGGCACCTTGGACAGGTGAGTCTTTGTCTGGGGGTGCTGATGTGTGCCTTGTAGGATGCTCAGCAGCATTCCTGGCCTTTGCCCACTAAACGCTGACATGCCTTCCCCTCAGTCATAATCATCAGAAGTGTCTCCATTTATTACCAGACGGCCGCGTAAGGGAAACAGGACAGAACCACCCCTAGATGATTCCTTGCTGCCCAAATCCCAATCTCCCGGAGTCCCCAGATTTTGATAGTCACCTTATAGAGGTAATCAGACCCAAAGATGAAAAATCCATCAAATAATAATTTGTTTACAAAAGGAAGTAATATCCAGGTGGGATATCTACTTTAGAAACTAAGCTGATTTTTTTTTTTAATTGAAATTTGCGAAGAACTAAGCTAAGCTAGTCTTTTTAGCTAATCTGAGCTTCCTTTCACCCAACCAGCCCTCCTTGACCCAGAGCCTACATTTTTCTCTTCAGAATTTCCTTTTCAGTCTGGGGCTTTTTTTTTAATCTATGTATTTTTTCCTAAATTACATCGTTTTATACCTGGAAACTCCCAAGAAAATCAACTGGAAAATTATTAGAAGCAAGAAAAATATTCAGTTAAGTAACTGGCTATAAAGATAATGTTCAAAGGTGGTCAGGAGGTACAAACTTCCGTTATAAGATAAATACATACTAGAATGTAATATACAATATGATTAATGTTATTAACACTACCATATCATTATATATGAAAATTCTTAAGAGAGTAAGTCCTGAGTGCTCATCACAAAGAAAAAGTTTTCTATTTCTTTCATTTTTGTGTATGTATATATACATATATATATATATATATATATGAGATAATAGATGTTCACTGAACTCACTGTGGTAATCATTTCATGATGTATGTAAGTTAAATCATTATGCTGTATACCTTAAATAGTGTTACATGTCAATTATGTCTCAAAACTGGGAGAAAACAACTGTTCAAATATACTCAGGATTTGCATAAAGGTACCTTTAGAACACTACTGAATCAGCAGAACACTTGTACTTACACTCTAGAAAAAAAGATTATGAATGGTGGCCAGTAAGCACTTGAAAATATACTCAACATCATTAGTCATCAGGGAAATACAAATTACAACTGAGATACCATTACACATATTATATTGGTCAAATTTTTTAAAATTGACCATGTGTTGTCAAAGATGTTAAACAGCTGAAATTCTTATGCACTGCTGGCAGAAAAGTTAAATGGTATACAAGCATACCTCACTTTATTGCAGTTTGCAGATACTGTATTTTTGGTAAATTGAAAGTCTGTGGCAACCCTGCACTAAGCAAGTCTTTTAGTGCCATTTTCCCAACAGCATTATTTTTCGGTTAAGGTATGTACATCTTTATACATAATGCTTTTGGACAGTTAATACATTACAGTATAATGTAAATGTAACTTTATATGCACTGAGAAACCAAAAAAATGGTATGACTTGCTTTATTGCAATATTTGCTTTATTGGAGTGATCTGGAACCATGCAATATCTCTGAGGTCTTTCTGTCCCACTTGAGAGAACTTTTGGCAGTGTTTTAAAATTAACATTTACCTGCCATACAGCCTGGCTACCCATGAGGAACAGAAACTTAAATTTACACAAAGACACACAAATATTCACATAAAGATTATTTGTGATGGCCAAAACCTAGGAAAAAAATTCTAATGTCCATTAGTAGGTAAATGGATACATAAATTGTGGAATACTATTTGGCTATATAAAAAAAAGAATGAACTATTGATACGTGCAATAATCTTTTATGTCAGAAATCAGAACAGTAGTTGCCTGGGGTTGGGGGTGGATTATAAGGGGTATGAGGAAATTGGAGGAGGATCAAAGTACAGTTTATTGGTTGCTGTAATACCTTACTAAAATTATACAAAAAATTAGTGCCATGTACACTTTAAGACTCCTTTCTAGTCAACCTTGTGTATTTTCAGAAGGATGTTTCTGTATACATCATGTGCGTGTGTTACTGGAGCTTGCACTGCAGCTGAAGAACGCACTGTGGTATCACTCATGGGCCTCAGCGGCCCACAGACAAACCGAGAAAGGCAGAGGGACAGACAGCCCACTGAAAGTGCCAAGATTCTAATGATGCCAAGACGTAGCCTGTTTCGTAAAGGAAGAGTAGATCATTTCTCTCTCATAGAAGAGAGAGAATCATTAAAGATCATTTCTCCCTAAATTCATCTATGAATTTTTAATGTAAGCCCACACCAAGGAAACCAGATCTGAAAGAGACACGTGTACCCCAGTATTTATCACAGCACTGTTTACAATAGCCAGGACATGGAAGCAACCTAGATGCCCATTAGCAGACGAATGGATAAGGAAGCTGTGGTACATATACACCATGGAATATTACTCAGCTATTAAAATGAATGTGTTTGAATCAGTTCTAATGAGGTGGATGAAACTGGAGCCTATTATACAGAGTGAAGTAAGCCAGAAAGATAAAGACCAATACAGTATACTAATGCATATATATGGAATTTAGAAAGATGGTAACGATGACCCTATATGCGAGACAGCCAAAGAGACACATGTGAAGAAGAGACTTTTGGACTCCGGGGGAGAAGGCGAGGGTGGGATGATTTGAGAGAATAGCACTGAAACATGTATATTATCATACGTGAAACAGATCGCCAGTCCAGGCTCGATGCATGAGGCAGGGTGCTCAGGGCTGGTGCCCTGGGATGACCCTGAGGGATGGGGAGGGGAGGGAGGTGGGAGGGGGTTCAGGATGGGGACACGTGTACACCCGTGGCTGATTCATGTCAGCGTATGGCAGAAACCACTACAATAGTGTAAAGTAATCAGCCTCCAATTAAAATAAATTAATTTAAAAAGTAAAAGTTGGACTTCCCTGGTGGCTCAGACGGTAAAGTGTCTGCCTACAATGTGGGGGACCCGGTTCAATCCCTGGGTCAGGAAAATCCTCTGGAGAAGGAAATGGCAACCCACTCCAGTACTGTCGCCTGGAAAATCCTGTGGATGGAGGAGCCTGAGAGTATACAATCCATGGGATTGCAAAGAGTCGGACACGACTGAGCAACTAAACAAAACTAATTAAAAAAAAAAATTTTTTTTTAAATGGAAGCCCAATCTTGGAAAAACTAGCCCATCAGAAAGTTATAATATCCAGTTCTAATTTGGTCTTGCTCTGGTTAATAGTATTAGATTTTATTTTTTCCATCTTTTTCTACATTCAGTGCAATAGCCAGTATGAACATTCTTTCTCTTTTTAACTTGTCATCTCTTCATTCCCAACTTTATTTACCCCTCACAACCACAAGAACCAAAATTACCTTCCATATTCCCCATGTACTGCATCCTTTTCACCTCATTCACTGGCCCTTCCTCTTCTACACAGCAGTCTTTCCTTCACCTGCACCCTGTGCTCTGGGCATTGCTATTTACTCAAAACTGTTCATCCATTACTCTTGCCCTACATACTTTACTGGTTGTAGAGAAGGAGGCTTTTTTGATGTTTCACTTATCTGTAAGAAGCCCAATGTTTTGAAAATAAAAACAAAAATGTTCATTTTCATTGCTTCTTCCAACTTCCTTCAGAGAGTCTCCTGTAACAACCAAAGCCCTGAACAAGTAGTCTAGTAGTCAGTTCCTTCATTTCTTAACTGGCCATATCTTCCTCAGTCCTTTCTAAATTTGCTGCTAACAAAAATCTAGATTTATAGCTTAACTAGGGTATCACTTTTCTACCTGTACCTGTATTTGATACCTTTTGATCACATACCTTACTGAATCTCCTCCCTTTGTTTTTACCACCTATACTTCCAACATCTAATCGTTTCATCTTGTCTCCTCTAACTATAAAGCTCCTTTGAAACAAAACCCTTGGCCCCTACATGTAGTCCCAAAGAGAGCAACTTCTGTTTTCCTACCTTCAACTCTATCTCTAGGTCAGGTGTAAGTTTAGCTCACTCCTCTAAACTGTTCCCATTTTTTCTGATCTCAAGATACTTTGTCCCATTTCCTCAATCACATTGTAATTAAAATTGAGCTATTGTCCTTTTCACATCTTCAGTGGTGAAAGCATTTCTTCTCTGCCTCATGGTAAATAGTATCTATTTTATTCATTTAATATCCTGAAGAAGAGAATACAATGGCTCTTGATTGGGTTGAGCCCAAAATGTTTGCCATGACATTCAGGGCCATCTTTTCCCTGTCTGACCTTACTTGCCATACTGTCCCAATGTGGATTTGACTTCTGTGTCTTCTTTCTGTTATTTACTCTTCCCTTGCTCATTCCCACTTCCATGCCTTTACTCATTCTACTTCCCCTGCCTCCTCTGAATGTACATGTCTTTTTATCTGCAGAGCTGCTCTTCCCCAGAATTATTTCATTTATTTGACTTAAGTTTCCATGGCAGTAATCTTTTCCTTAGAGCCCTTGGTTTTAAGTATAGTGTTACTTTTCTCCCCCAAAGTAAACAGTACCTTCAAAGCAAGCGTCAGTTGCTCTGTTTGCATCCTCTAGAGTCCCTGTAACTGTGACAGGCACAGAGTAGGTTTCTAATGAATGTTCGTCTGTTCCCTGATTGATTTTTAGTAAGAAGAGTGATGTCAGGAGCATGGCAAGTTTTAACCAAACATCCTTAATTGTATACTCAAAGTGTCTTCTCTGACAGTTATAAATTGACAGTTTACTATGATACTGTACATTAGGGAGTTCTCATTTTTATAATGACTTTGTTTCTTTGAGGATTTTAAGAAGTTGGAGTATTTCCAGTATTCTTCCATTTTAATAAATTGTTACTTTTGCATCAACCACACATAAATATGGATGTGTGTTTTTATACAAACAATATTGTACATACTTCTCTGCAGCTTGCTCTTTTCACTTAATGATAGGTCTGGATATCTTTTCAAATCAGCATATAGAGGGTTTTTTCTAGTTTATAGTATCCTGAAAATGTTATCTTTTCAGAATGCACATCAGTTGTTTCATTTTCTAATATAAACTTCTGTGAGATAAGTGTGCACCATCTAAACATTTCACGTTCATTGTTTAGATGAATGTGATGGTCATTGTTTTAATATTGTGTTCTGCTTGTTTCATAGGGATATCACTGTCTTAAGTTCTGTTTGGTATTTTATGAAAGTTTTTTAAGTGAGGCGTTCCTAATGCTTTACCAGGGGATGTTTAAAAAAAAAGAGAGAGCTTTCTCTATAGAAGTAAGCATAGAAGTTCTAAGAGTTATAGTTACAGCTCTTAACTAGATGACATATATTCTGTTTCTTGATAGGAATCAACCCTCAAAAGTGTACTGAGTGCCTTATGGAATCTGTCAGCACACTGCACTGAGAATAAAGCTGACATATGTGCTGTAGGTGGTGCGCTGGCATTTTTGGTTGGCACTCTCACTTATCGCAGCCAAACAAATACTTTAGCCATTATTGAAAGTGGAGGTGGGATATTACGGAATGTATCCAGCTTGATAGCTACAAATGAGGACCACAGGTAAATACAGAGTTTTATGTTACTTTTAAATGAATTTGTAAGATTCATCTTCAGAAAGACTTAACTGAGCAGTGTTTTGTGTAATTATGCAAGTTCTGAGCCAAATTACATTTATGACAATGAAACTATAACTATTAATACCTGATTTATTCATTAACATTTATGCTAATAAAAGTTCATAGTATCACAAAGATGTCTGAAAATAAACCAGTGATACTTGAGAGATATAACCCATGTGTAGAATAAAAAATGAAAGCCATAAATATTACAGAGAACAAAATCCTTTCCTATATGTAGTGTGGATTAAGGAAATATGAGGTTATAAAAAAAAACTTGTGGTTATGATCCAGAAAGTACAATGATTCACATTTTTCTTGTGGAGCCATAATATCAGTAATCAAAATGTTTTTCAGCTAGCAGCCGTTCATCCAATTTATTATAACTGTGAAACCTAACAGAGCACCTCACATGCAAGGCATACATTTTCAGAACTTGAGCTTTGCCTTATCTCAGCAAAAATATAGTATCTTTCACAGTGTATTTATTTATTTTATCCTGTATTGTTCTTCTCTTGTTTTAAAAAAAAAAAAGACTATGGGGTACTTGTAGTAAAAGGGCTTTGTAAACAGTGTAAACACCTTTTCTGCAAGTTTCTGATGCACAAACTACAAGCCTTTACAGCGCTTTCCTCTTCTCATGGAAGAACTCTTAAACTTGGTAAGCACTCAGGTGTCTGCTGGACTGCAGAGAGAGAGCTCCATGCTAACGCTCATTGTACCTTTTTGCCTATCAGTTTCAAAGCCCACTAGAGCTGACTGTGCTCTCATTAAACTTCATTCTACCATGCATTAAATAAGCCCTAGCTCTTCAGATCCTAACATTCATTATGCTGACTCTCAACTCTTGTTTTTAAATGTTTTGAAAACTTCCACTTTATTTTTAGAAAAACTACACACACCATTTGCCCAAAACCACTTACAGTATTGGGAATATCAGTATTACAAATTCAAACCAGAGAGAGATGATCTAAAAGTCATTTTGCTGACCTGAGCTCACAGTGTGCTCCCTGACTTTGTAAAGACCTCTCAATTAATTCTTCTCTCTACCTCTTCTGAGATGTTTCTGTTGTCAGCATTGTGGAACCCACCCAGATGTTAAATTACCAGAGTCCCTGTTCAGCTAAGATTTCATAATATATTTATACTCAGTAAACTGAGAAACTCTGTCACTATGTAAAGTAAATATATATTTGCTTCAAAAAGTTTTAAAGCTGTTAGGTCAGAATAGGAAATGCAGAATTGATGAAACTGAACATTTTTACCTTTTAGTCTGACAGATGAGTACTATAAAACAATAAACATTAAATGAACTAAGGTAAAACAAAAGGAGATGGGCAGTGCTTGAAATTTATAACATAATTTGGTGTAGTTTTATTATGCCTGTTGTTACAAGTTTTAGCAGTTATCTTTAGACTTAAATTTGTTCTCTTTCCTTTTATTTGTCACTGCAAACAGATTTTTACCTTACTTTTGTAATGTCTTATTTTTATTTCAGGCAAATCCTAAGAGAGAATAATTGCTTACAGACCTTATTACAACACTTGAAATCTCACAGTTTGACAATAGTTAGTAATGCATGCGGAACCTTGTGGAATCTCTCAGCAAGAAACCCTAAAGACCAGGAAGCATTGTGGGACATGGGAGCAGTCAGCATGCTCAAGAACCTCATTCATTCAAAGCACAAGATGATTGCTATGGGAAGTGCTGCAGCTCTAAGGAATCTCATGGCAAATAGACCTGCAAAGTATAAAGATGCCAATATCATGTCTCCTGGTTCAAGTCTGCCTTCTCTTCATGTCAGGAAACAAAAGGCCCTGGAAGCAGAATTAGATGCTCAGCATTTATCAGAAACTTTTGACAATATTGACAATTTAAGTCCCAAGGCATCTCATCGTAGCAAGCAGAGACACAAGCAAAATCTCTATGGTGACTATGTTTTTGACAGCAATCGACATGATGATAACAGGTCAGACAATTTTAATACTGGAAACATGACTGTCCTGTCACCGTATTTAAATACTACAGTATTGCCCAGCTCTTCTTCATCAAGGGGAAGTTTAGATAGCTCTCGTTCTGAGAAAGATAGAAGTTTGGAGAGAGAACGAGGTATTAGCCTAGGCAACTACCACCCAGCAACAGAAAATCCAGGAACCTCTTCAAAGCGAGGTTTGCAGATTTCTACCACTGCAGCCCAGATTGCCAAAGTCATGGAAGAAGTATCAGCCATTCATACCTCCCAGGAAGACAGAAGTTCTGGATCTACCACAGAACTACACTGTGGGACAGATGAGAGGAATGCACTAAGAAGAAGCTCTACCGCCCACACACATGCCAACACTTACAACTTTACCAAGTCAGAAAACTCAAACAGAACATGTCCAATACCATATGCCAAAGTAGAATATAAGAGGTCTTCAAATGATAGTTTAAATAGTGTCAGCAGTAGTGATGGTTATGGTAAAAGGGGTCAGATGAAACCTTCAGTTGAATCCTATTCTGAAGATGATGAAAGTAAATTCTGCAGCTATGGTCAGTATCCAGCTGACCTAGCCCATAAAATACATAGTGCAAATCATATGGATGATAATGATGGAGAACTAGATACACCAATAAATTATAGTCTTAAATATTCCGATGAACAGTTGAACTCTGGGAGGCAGAGCCCTTCACAGAATGAAAGATGGGCAAGACCCAAACATATACTAGAAGATGAAATAAAACCGAATGAGCAGAGACAATCAAGGAGTCAAAGCACAGCTTACCCTGTATATCCTGAGAGCACTGATGATAAACATCTCAAGTTCCAACCACACTTTGGGCAGCAAGAATGTGTTTCTCCATACAGGTCAAGAGCAGCCAATGGATCTGAAACAAATCGAGTAGGCTCTAATCATGGAATTAGTCAAAATGTGAACCAGTCTTTGTGTCAAGAAGATGACTATGAAGATGATAAACCAACCAACTACAGTGAACGTTACTCTGAAGAAGGGCAGCATGAGGAAGAAGAGAGACCAACCAATTATAGCATAAAATACAGTGAAGAAAAACATCACGTGGATCAGCCCATTGATTATAGTTTAAAATACACCACAGACATTCCTTCTTCACAGAAACCGGCATTTTCATTCTCAAAGAATTCATCTGGACAGAGCACAAAAACTGAACACATCTCTTCAAGCAGTGAGAATACTTCCACACCTTCATCTAATGCCAAAAGGCAGAATCAGCTACATCCAAGCTCAGCACAAAGCAGAAGTAGTCAGACCCCAAAAGCCACCTCTTCCTCTTGCAAAGTTCCCTCTATCAACCAAGAAACAATACAGACTTACTGTGTAGAAGATACCCCAATATGTTTTTCGAGATGCAGTTCATTATCATCTTTGTCATCTGCTGAAGATGAAATAGGGTGTGACCAGACCACACAGGAAGCAGATCCTGCTAACTCTCTGCAGATAGCCGAAATCAAGGACAACAGCGGACCTAGGCCAAACGAAGATTCTGTGAGTAAAGTTCCAGCAGTGTCACAGCACGTTAGAACCAAATCCAGCAGACTCCAGGCTTCTGGTCTGTCTTCAGAGTCAGCCAGGCACAAAGCTGTTGAATTTTCTTCAGGGGCAAAATCTCCTTCCAAGAGTGGTGCTCAGACACCCAAAAGTCCACCAGAGCACTACGTTCAGGAGACCCCACTCATGTTTAGCAGATGTACTTCAGTCAGTTCACTCGATAGTTTTGAGAGTCGCTCAATTGCCAGCTCTGTTCAGAGTGAACCCTGCAGTGGAATGGTGAGTGGCATTATAAGCCCCAGTGACCTCCCAGATAGCCCTGGACAAACCATGCCACCAAGCAGAAGTAAAACCCCTCCTCCTCCTCCTCCTCCTCCTCAGACAGTTCAAACGAAGCAAGAAGTACCTAAAACTAAAGCACCTAGTGCTGAAAAGAGAGAAAGTGGACCTAAGCAAGCTGCCGTAAACGCTGCAGTCCAGAGGGTCCAGGTTCTTCCAGATGCTGATACTTTGTTACATTTTGCCACAGAGAGTACTCCTGATGGATTTTCTTGTTCATCTAGCCTGAGTGCTCTGAGCCTTGATGAGCCATTTATTCAGAAAGATGTGGAACTAAGGATAATGCCTCCAGTTCAGGAAAATGACAACGGGAATGAAACAGAAAGTGAGCAGCCTGAAGAATCAAATGAAAACCAGGAAAAAGAGGCAGAAAAACCCACTGACTCTGAAAAAGATCTTTTAGATGAGTCAGATGATGATGATATTGAAATACTAGAAGAGTGTATAATTTCTGCCATGCCAACAAAATCTTCACGCAAAGCCAAAAAACCAACCCAGACTACTTCGAAATTACCTCCACCTGTGGCAAGGAAACCAAGTCAGCTGCCTGTATACAAACTTCTGCCATCACAAAACAGGTTACAGGCACAAAAGCATGTTAGTTTTACACCAGGAGATGATATGCCACGGGTATATTGTGTAGAAGGGACACCTATAAACTTTTCCACAGCTACATCTCTGAGTGATCTAACGATAGAATCCCCTCCAAATGAGTTAGCTGCTGGAGAAGGGGTTAGAGCAGGGGCACAATCAAGTGAATTTGAAAAACGAGATACCATTCCTACTGAAGGCAGAAGTACAGATGAGGCTCAAAGAGGGAAAGCCTCATCTGTCACTGTACCTGAACTAGATGACAATAAAACAGAAGAAGGTGATATTCTTGCAGAATGCATCAATTCTGCTATGCCCAAAGGAAAAAGTCACAAGCCTTTCCGTGTGAAAAAGATTATGGACCAGGTCCAACAAGCATCTATGTCTTCATCTGGAACTAACAAAAATCAATTAGATGGTAAGACAAAGAAACCTACTTCACCAGTAAAACCTATACCACAAAATACTGAATACAGGACACGTGTAAGAAAAAATACAGACTCAAAAAATAATTTAAATGCCGAAAGAAATTTCTCGGAAAACAAAGATTCAAAGAAACAGCACTTGAAAAATAATTCCAAGGACTTCAATGATAAACTGCCAAATAATGAAGACAGAGTCAGAGGAAGTTTTACTTTTGATTCACCTCATCATTACACACCCATTGAAGGCACCCCATACTGTTTTTCACGAAATGACTCTTTGAGTTCTCTAGATTTTGATGATGATGATGTTGACCTTTCCAGGGAAAAGGCTGAATTAAGAAAGGGGAAGGAAAATAAAGAATCAGAAGCTAAAGTGACCAACCACACTGAACTAATCTCAAACCAACAATCAGCTAATAAGACACCAGCTGTTACAAAGCAGCCAATAAATAGAGGTCAGTCTAAATCCGTGCTGCAGAAGCAGTCCACTTTTCCCCAGTCCTCCAAAGATATACCAGACAGAGGGGCAGCAACAGATGAGAAATTACAGAATTTTGCTATTGAAAATACTCCAGTTTGCTTTTCTCGAAATTCCTCTCTAAGCTCTCTTAGTGACATTGATCAAGAAAACAACAACAACAAGGAAAATGAACCTATCAAAAAGACAGAGCCCCCTGGCTCACAGGGAGAAGCAAGTAAACCACAGGCATCAGGTTATGCTCCTAAGTCATTTCACGTTGAAGATACCCCTGTCTGTTTCTCAAGAAACAGTTCTCTCAGTTCTCTTAGTATTGATTCTGAAGATGACCTGCTGCAGGAATGCATAAGTTCTGCAATGCCAAAAAAGAAAAAGCCTTCAAGGCTCAAGGCTGATAATGAAAAGCATAGTCCCAGAAATATGGGTGGCATATTAGCAGAAGATTTGACACTCGATTTGAAAGATATACAGAGACCAGATTCAGAACATGGTTTATCCCCAGATTCAGAAAATTTTGATTGGAAAGCTATTCAGGAAGGTGCAAATTCCATAGTAAGTAGTTTACATCAAGCTGCTGCTGCCGCATGTTTATCTCGACAAGCTTCGTCTGATTCAGATTCCATCCTTTCACTGAAATCGGGCATCTCTCTGGGATCACCGTTTCATCTTACACCTGATCAAGAAGAAAAACCCTTTACGAGTAATAAAGGCCCACGAATTCTAAAACCTGGGGAGAAAAGTACATTGGAAACTAAAAAAATAGAATCTGAAAATAAAGGAATAAAAGGAGGCAAAAAGGTTTATAAAAGTTTGATTACTGGGAAAGTTCGGTCTAATTCAGAAATTTCGAGCCAAATGAAACAACCCCTTCAAACAAACATGCCTGCAATCTCTCGAGGTAGAACAATGATTCATATTCCAGGAGTTCGGAATAGCTCTTCAAGTACAAGCCCAGTTTCTAAAAAAGGCCCACCCCTCAAGACTCCAGCCTCCAAAAGCCCTAGCGAAGGTCAGGCGGCTACCACCTCTCCCAGAGGAACCAAGCCATCAGTGAAGTCAGAATTAAGCCCTGTTACAAGGCAGGCATCCCAGACAGCAGGATCAAACAAAGGACCTTCTAGATCAGGATCTAGAGATTCCACTCCTTCAAGACCTGCCCAGCAACCATTAAGTAGACCAATGCAGTCTCCAGGGCGAAACTCAATCTCTCCTGGTAGAAATGGAATAAGTCCCCCTAACAAATTATCTCAACTACCAAGGACGTCATCCCCTAGTACTGCTTCAACTAAGTCCTCAGGTTCTGGGAAAATGTCTTACACATCTCCTGGCAGACAGATGAGCCAGCAGAACCTCACCAAACAAACGGGCTTATCCAAGAATGGCAGTGGTATCCCAAGAAGTGAATCTGCCTCCAAAGGGCTAAATCAAATGAGTAATAGTAATGGATCCAATAAAAAAGTGGAACTTTCTAGAATGTCTTCAACAAAGTCAAGTGGAAGTGAATCTGATAGGTCAGAGAGACCTGTATTAGTACGCCAATCAACTTTCATCAAAGAAGCTCCAAGCCCAACCCTAAGGAGAAAACTGGAGGAATCTGCTTCATTTGAATCTCTTTCTCCGTCTTCTAGACCCGATTCTCCAACACGGTCCCAGGCACATACTCCAGTTTTAAGTCCTTCCCTTCCTGATATGTCTCTATCTGCACATTCGTCTGTTCAGTCCGGTGGATGGCGAAAACTCCCACCTAACCTCAGTCCCACCATAGAGTATAGTGATGGAAGACCAGGAAAGCGCCATGATATAGCACGCTCTCATTCCGAGAGTCCCTCCAGACTCCCCATCAACAGGTCAGGGACCTGGAAACGTGAGCACAGCAAACACTCATCATCACTGCCTCGAGTAAGCACTTGGAGAAGAACTGGGAGTTCATCCTCAATTCTTTCTGCTTCATCAGAATCTAGTGAAAAGGCAAAAAGTGAGGACGAAAAACATGTGAGCTCTATTTCAGGAAGCAAACAAACTAAAGAAAACCAGGTACCCACAAAAGGAACATGGAGAAAAATAAAAGAAAGTGAAATTTCTCCCACAAGTAGTACTTCTCAGACCACTTCTTCAGGTGCTACAAATGGTGCTGAATCAAAGACTCTGATTTATCAAATGGCACCTGCTGTTTCTAAAACAGAGGATGTTTGGGTAAGAATTGAGGATTGCCCTATTAACAACCCTAGATCTGGAAGATCTCCAACAGGAAATACTCCCCCTGTGATTGACACTGTTTCAGAAAAGGGAAACCCGAACCCTAAAGATTCAAAAGATAATCAGGGAAAACAAAATGTGAGCAATGGTAGTGCCCCCACACGCACCATGGGTCTGGAAAACCGCCTGAATTCCTTTATTCAGGTAGATCCCCCAGACCAAAAAGGAACTGAGGCAAAGCCAGGACAAAGTAATAACCCTGTCCCTGCATCCGAGACTAATGAAAGTTCTATAGCTGAGCGTACCCCATTTAGTTCTAGCAGCTCAAGCAAGCACAGTTCACCAAGTGGGACTGTCGCCGCCAGGGTGAGTCCTTTTAATTACAACCCAAGCCCGAGGAAAAGCAGCGCAGATGGCACTTCAGCCCGACCGTCTCAGATCCCAACGCCAGTGAGTAACACCACAAAGAAACGTGACTCAAAGCCCGACAGCACAGAGCCCAGCGGGACTCAAAGTCCTAAACGCCACTCCGGGTCTTACCTTGTGACGTCTGTGTGAGAAGAGCTGGAAGGAGGAAAGTAAGAATGTGATATGTGGTAATTACAACTGCTATGTAGAAATTTTGTTTCAAGTGAAACTGTAAAAGACTGAAAAATTTTGTACATAGGTTTGATTCTTGTTAGAGGGTTTTTGTTCTGGAAGCCATATTTGATAGTATACTTTGTCTTCACTGGTCATATTTTGGGAGGCACTCTTGATAGTTAGGAAGAAAACGGTAAAGCCAAGTATATTTGTACAGTATGTTTTTCATGTATTTAAGTAGCGTCCCATCCCAGCATCCTTTAATTATTGCCTGTCTTAAAATAACACTACAGATAGAAGATATGATATATTGCTGTTATCAATCATTTCTAGATAATAAAGTGACTAAACTTACATCAGGGAGAAATTGGTATTTATGCAAAAAACCATTCTGTTTTAGTCCTTGAGAGTCCCATCTAACATCATAATTAATCATGTGGCTGTGAAATTCACAGTAATATGGTTCCCGATGAACAAGTTTATCCAGCCTGCTTTGCTTTACTGCATGAATGAAACCGATGGTTCAATTTCCGAAGTAATGATTAACAGTTCTGTGGTCACATGATGTGCATATAGATAGCTATAGTGTAACAACTTACACTATTTTGTGCGCAAAACAAAAAAATCTGTGTAACTGTAAAACATTGAACGAGACTATTTTACCTGAACATCTGAGAGTAGTAGAGTTTTTGCTATGCTGTATCTTGTTGTATATTCTGGTCTTTGAGGTGAGATGGCTGCTCTTTTATTATCGAGACATGAATCGTGTCTCAACAGAAACTAAATGAACATTTCAGAATAAATTATTGCTGTATGTAAACTGTTACTGAAATTGGTATTTGTTTGAAGGGTCTTATTTCACATTTGTATTAATAATTGTCAAAAAGGGCCTCTTTTAAAAGCTTATATAAATTTTTTCTTCAAATTCTATGCATTAAGAGTAAAATTCCTCTTACTGTAATAAAAACAATTGAAGCTGATTGTTGGCATTTAACCATTCCATGCATTGGCACTTAACCTTTCCTGAAAGTTTTTTTAATGTGTGATTAGCACTTCCTGTTTAGTATTTTTCTATTCACTCTTTTTTTCTTACTCCACTGGAGTTGATTTTTTAAATTCATATAATAGCAATGTGAACGGCCTTGTTCAGTGGGCATTGAACACAATAGGCCCACAAAGAACATTTCTTTTTTCTTAATAGAATTCTGTCCTTGAAAAATTAATTATTCTGAGGTAGAAGTAGTCTCTTCCAAGCCCATCTTTGAATGATGCTGTCTTGTCCCTCCTGTTGCTCCTGGGTCTGGGAATGAACACCTGTCATCACCTTTTGTGTTACAGCAAAATTTCAGCAGCCAAATATAATCAGCACCTTGCCATGTTCAGAAAATGCTAAGATATTCAAGAGACTCTTAAGAAACCATTGCCTGTTAACGAAAACTTTGTTTTTGATGAGTAGGGTTGTGGGGTATGTGTTCAAATGCCCCCTTCCTCACACAGCAAGGAGGGGATCCTCCTTCATGAAGGAAGATAGACTGATAAGATTTATTTAAAAAGCTAATATATCTTTCCAGAATTTGTTCTAAATGATCAGAGAGTAAGGATGATGATAAATGTTCACGTATTTGTTGAATAAATGAAATTTTATTTTCTAATGATAAATTCATGCACTCTGCATTTGGGGAAGGGAAAAGATATTTAGATATGGCAGGACACTGGGGAAAGGTGGTGAGGAGTAAGCATGTCTACCTGCTGTCTTTGAAATCACATCATAGAGTGAGTTATCTACTGCTTACCTGTGTATATTAGGTAAGGACTTTTTTTTTTTTAAGTCATTTCCTAAAATGCCAGTAAATAAGTGCTGTGATTTGAAGAAAGGCATGTGACTCTTTCTACTGCTCATCTTTGGAATATACCTACATTTAAACTTTGGTCAAGTTTTATCTGAGTGAAATCATTTGTAAGTCATAGGACTATTCTGTTTTTCTCAAAGGATGCCTTATCCAACAGGGATATATGAATAGAGGTCATATTTCTTTCCTGTTTAGTCCTGATTTTCTTTCTTTTTTTTTTTAGTTACTACTGCATGCCCATTTTTATAAACCACTTCAAATATTTTATAGGAAAAAACATGGGATATAAGTCAACTAGAATAAAATTACCTTTTTCAAGGAAGGAAAAAGGAAAAAACAAAACAAAACACCTCAGTGCTGAAAATGAAAAAAGGATGCCCTCCATATCCCAGAATACTCAGGAATTAAGTAAGCAGCACCTACTGGGAGAAGGTACAGTATACATTGCCCATTGAGGAAAAAGTTCTGTATAAGACCCTCTAGTTAGAGACAACGGCTCTGAATTAGTAAAGGACAAAATCTCAGTTCTAATTTTAGAAGTTCAGGGAGTGCTCCCATAACTGATAACCACCCAAATGGTCCCCAGTTTACGCCTGTGTTACAAATGGCACCCCGAGGCAGTGGTTTCCAAACTTGAGTGCATGCAAATCACCAAAAATGTTTGTTAAAACACATCCCCATCCTTCCTGACTCTGAGTCAGGCCTGGGAACCAGCAGGCGATGCCAATGCTGCTGGTCTGGGACCACTCAGAGTTACTGCCGCGTGCAACTGCAGCAAAGCTCCTCGAGGGATTGCCTTCCATTCCAGCTGTTCTTCTCAACACTGGACTCAGCATCTGAGAAAGTACACCAAACTGTCCTCTCCTTTAGGTATGAAAAGATATGAATATTGAGTTACAATCTGATACAGCCCATCTCAACTCCCAGTAGTCTACAAGTTTACCAGACATGAATGAACAGGTAATTCTATATCTGAGGTATTGACTCATGTTCCCTTTGGAACAGTTATCAAAAAGGCAAAATTTCAGCAAATATCTAATTTGGATTTGCAATAATATCAAAAGAGACACCAAGAACAGGGCAAAGAAGAGAACTTTGAAGAGAGAGCAAATGGACTTAAGATGAAAGAAAAATGTGCCCAGTTAGTATACAGACAACAACCAATTAACTATGGCAAATTCATATTTGAGAATAAACTTGACAAGTTACTTTGCACTGACAGGAAAGTTAATGAGAAGGAAATAATGAAATAAAAGATAAGCCCCAAAGAATCCAGCTGCATTCTAAGAAGAGTCAAAAAACTTTTTTCCCCATAAACCATGGATTGTTCCCACAAGGTTAATGAACTGAAGGGATGAGTCTTGCTGAAGATGGAAGCGAGTTGCACTATATCTGAATCCATGTTTTCACAGAGTTTCCTTGTATCTAAAATAGAAAAAGAACTGAGTGCCAGAAATGCAAAAAGAAAATTGCTAAGAGCTGAAGAATACTTGAGTAGTCAGATCATTCACAGTTAACCAAACAAAAATAATTTTTCAAGAGTCACAAGGGTCGAAATAGAGTATATAAATTATATTTTAGTTTCTAATTCCTTCATATTAATGCTGACTTTCAAATACTACTTCATAGTGTTGAAACCTATGGACTTTGACACCTACAAACTCCAGGTCTTTTTTCTGCTCTTCTCTCTTCTGTGGTCTATAAAACTATATTCTGGTTTTTGTTAGACCATTGATCCTTCTTTCAACCTGTATGTTTTCTGTGTGTATAATATTCTCGGTGCTAAATACACTTCTGATATTCAGGATAACTCTCTACAATTGTGACTATTTGCTTATTTTCTTGACGTTATGAGACTGTTCCTTTTTAAATTAAAAATACTTAACATTGTGCTAGTGAAGGTGACCACTGAATATAAAGCAACATTAGTGAATGTTGCAAAAATTAGCTATTGTTAATAGCTATTGTTGCAGACATGACCTGTCCCACCTGCACAACCTTTTGGAATCCTGACATACAGTCTCACTGTTTTATCACTGAAGCTTGTACTCATTGTTCCACCCGACCATGGCTGTCTCCACCAGCGGGGGATACCTGACCCAGAGGAGACTCATCATTAACTGACTAGTTACCAAAGACTTGTATGGTTTGTCTTAAAAAAAAAAAAAAAGATTAGGCCAATTTTAAATAAAGAGTCACAAAATTTCTGGTTGGAGATTGAGTGCTAGATTTGAAAGATCTTGTAGAGTTAAGACTGAAGGTGCTCTGGCATCAAGAAGCTAAAATAAGAGAAAGTCGGTCGCTAGAGACAGAAGGAACAGATAGGAGAGGGAGGCACAGAAAGCAAGTGTGAGACATACAAGAAAGGCTAGCTCCTGGCATTACCACAGCTCTTGCTGATTCTGGGGCTAGTTCGACTTTTCCTTGTGTTTGGAACATTTGTGACCTTTCAAACCCACTTTGTTTCTGAAGTAACTTGAAACAAAACTATTTAAACACAGTTTAGTGAGGCTTTTTTTTTTAATATAAAGAGAGCTTTCTAAAATCATCTGTGGGGAAAGGGGGATAGGCTGCCTACAGAGAAAAAAAAAAAAGACTGGCATCAGATTTCTTCTCTGAAATACTGAATGCCAAAAAAAGGGGGGGGGGGGCTTTTGGAAGCAAATGGAAATATTACCTAAGAATTCTGAAACCTGTCAAACTAGCACTTAACTTACCTGAAACACACATCATTCGAGATTCTTGTTACAGTTGTTAACAATAAGATTTTCTCTAAAAGAGGAGACACTCATTTAAGGAATCAGGTAGCTCACAGGAGCTATATGAGGGCCAGAAAATCAGGCTTGGAAACCACTACAGAAACAATACCCAAACCATACTGTGAGACTGCTTCAAAAAGACCCAGTTGTTACCTGTCAACTCTGGAGCCCTCTGACACCACCCTCCCCGTAAGTTAAGAATAGTTTCAGCACTTGCCTCGTCATACCGCTCAATCCTGGACTGGAGTCTTGGTGAATGGACACTGTTGGCAGAAGCTGCGTCATATGCCCGTAGAGCCTGGGAAAGCTCAGTGGTTCGGGTTCTCCATTGAGGAAGCGGGACACCTAGGACATGAATTCTCCAAACCTACAAAGGGCGTCTCAAATGCACCACTGGGAAACTAGAATCCATGACACACCTCCTACCATAGTACTCCTGCTGCCTGAGCAATTAAATGAGAAAGTATTAAAGAGACAGTTTGAGCAATAAAACCTTTGAACTGAATAAATGTGTAAGTAATTGTGGTTAATCTGATAATGAATCTCAATGTGAATGTGCATGTAACTCAGAACTGAAAAGATGAAATGCTTAATAATTTTAAATTCCACATTATTCCACCCCAAACTGGGAAATGAGGGAGAGAAGACATAAAAGCATGCTAAATTTCTACTCTTTTAAACAGGCAGTGTCAAAAGATACTATTTTACTTTTAACTTGGAAAAATGCAAGTTCAATTTTTCTATTTAGTCCTAACACCAATGTTGAAAGCTTTCCATCCAAATCATTAGTGAAATAACTATGAATACAAGAACACTTGAACAGGATATCAAAGAATAGGGAAAAGGGGAGAGGGAGAATTAGCCACAATAAAGCATAAAGTGACAGCAATATCAAATAATGAGTGGATTAAGCACATATGGTAAAATAAAGTTGGAGTCAAAAAAAAAAAACCTTTACCTATATGCCATTAGTAAAAGAGACACCTAAAATGATCCAGCCTGGACAAAACTAAAAGCACAACTACACACAGGCAAATGCAAAGAAAGCAGTATAGGTAAATTTATGTCAAAGTATAATTCTGGATGAAAAGCATCAAACAATGAAAAGAAGATGAAAGACGGTTATGACTTTCTTTGAACATCAAATGATAAAGCATCAGGTGTATGAAACAAAATTACAAACACAAAAGAGATTGACAAAAACTGTGGAACCAGTGACAGGGTCAGTGTTTGACAGATGACTTGGTGTACACACAACCAAAGTAGAGTTATTACTTAAAACCACAACTTCCTTCCAGAAAGGGTGACTCTTGTTAAGATAAAATTCTTGAAAAGTCCTTTTCTTTAGCTGAGGGCCTTGATGAGTTTGGGATCTGTAAAGCCAAGCCTGAAGTTTAGTGGGAGGAGGGTTAGAGAAAATCTCACAGGTGTGCTTAAGAGAGGCAAGAACTCAGGGTTTGGGAGTTACCCAGGAATGAGGGGTTGAGGAGCAGAGATGTGAGCACAAAAGGAGAGACACAACAGAAAAAATGGCAAGAAGTCAAGGTCCTATGATAAACCCCTGATGCAACTGGTATTGATTTTAGAAATAGAGACATACACTATTTCAGTTGAAATCTAAGTTCTTTATAAAATCTGTGTTCAGTAATAATATATTAACTTGTTTTTAATTTTCAGAATCTTTTTAACAATTGCAGTTATCTTCACCATAACTTTATATAAATTATTAAGTTATTTGAATTTACTTAGATGTAAGTGTTCACTGTTTCCTCTGTATTTCGTAGTGGAAACACTTTCTTTAATATAATTTGGTTTGGCTGGAGTATGTCCTTAAATAGTGTGTGTTTGTTTGTTTTCCAGAAAAGCTAGGTTGGGAATATACTTTCTCAATCCTTGCTTGTTTAAAATTGTCTTTCTTTTGCCCTCACACAAAGGATAATTTGAGTCACGACTTTAGTCACAATTCATTTTCTTCAAAACTCTTCTAATGTTTACTGTGGCTAAAAAGTTCAGATATCAGGCTGAGTTCTTTTCCCCTATAGAAAACTTATTTCGTACCTGGTGTTCTTAGGGTTGTTTTTAATCCTTGAAATAAAGCAATTTTAATAGCATAAGCCCAGCTGTGTGTTTTTTTCCACAGCCCTGTCTTTTAATACCGAGTCTTTTCAATCTTGAGTCTTCAGCTCATTCAATGTTGTCACCTTCCTCTTTACAAACCAACCGGATCTACCAAACACTGCTCTCCATTAGACACTAGCCAGAAGCTTGGTGGTGCCTAAGTGAGAGGCACCATACTGGGTGCCATCCTGTCAGTTCTTGGTGTCCGAAAGCTGCACTCTGTCCCTACAGAAGTGGGAAGAACACCTGTCCTCCACTTTGGGATTTAGTATAACACTTCCCCTCAGAGTACCAAAGCAGTACTGCTTGTGTTCAAATGCCTTAAAGGATTTGTAGTGAAACAGTTTCACTAAAAGGAATTTTAGTTAGTCTTAGTCTACCCTCCTACACCAATATAAAGATCTGAAGAATACTGAAGTGGGTTATTTTCTACTCCAGGGGATCAATCATTCTAACCGACGGATCCAACCCATCTCTTGCACTGGCAAGGAGATTCTTTACCACTGAGTTTAATTTTAGGATAGCGATTTTGAAAAGTGTATAGTCGAGTTTACACGGAACATTGAAACACAGTGCCAGTAATTTTGCTAGTTCCACCACTATAAAAATCGATTTTTGCCAACTTGAAAGCAAGCTGCGGGGCCCAGGAGCGGTTAAAGATTAAACAAAGTGGGCATTTCCTTGCCTACTCTTAACAACTTGCTCAGAACTCAGATAACCCGCGGTGTTGAGCCGTACTCTGAGGATGAGAGAAGCATGCACCATCCACACTCAAACTGAAAGTAGCTAAAAAAAAGGGGGGCGGGGGGGGCGTGAAAGTGTAAACCAATTTTAGCGACGGCGCGAGCTTTCCAAAGGCTGGTTTCTGCAAGCTCACAGAAAGAAAGGAGTTAGTCACGTTCCTGACGTTCCTGTACCCTCTCGCGAGAGGAAGAGATTTCAACGCCACGTCAGGAACCGGAGAGCCGAGACGAGTAGGCGTTCCGGTGGGCGGGACTTCCGCCGGAAACGGGGTGGTCTGGGAACTCTCAGAGGGGAGCTCCGGCCGGCTTTCTTACCTGCTGGCCCTCGCCGGGTGCTCTCTGGGCGTGGACGCTGTCTGGACCCGGGTGAAGATGGCTTGCGCCGCGGCGCGGTCCCCGGCCGACCAGGACAGGTGAGTCCGGAAAGAGGAAGCGCCTTGGGGCAAGCCCGCCGGTTCTGCGCCTCCTTCCCAAACCCTAAGGAAAGCTCCTCAGAGGGAGCTAGGCCCTGGCCCTGTTCTCGGGCGTCTGTACCTCCCGGAGGCCCTGCTGCACTGGGGTGTTCGCAGGACCCTAGATTCCAGCTTTACATAGCTCGATGTTTACCTGAACTTGAGACGGAGGCTGTTGGGAGGTAAGTAGTCACCAAGTGACAACGCTCTCCTTTCGATCTTTGGCGGTAAGAGACCAGGGCCCGCCCTCAGAGGCTTTTGACAGGCTGTTGTATGTAAATGAACAGTTCCGGTATTGGTTTCTTTTCTTTTTTTAAAAAAGCTTTGTCTAGCAAGTGATGTTTTTCTCATCTAAGGTAATAAGTTAAAGTTCGGTTTTTAAATAGAGGGGAGCATCACCAACTCGATGGACATGAGTTTGAGCAAGCCCCGGGAGTTGGTGATGGACAGGGAAGCCTGGCGTGCTGCAGTCCTTGGGGTCGCAGAGTCGGACACGACTGAGCGCCTGAACTGAACTGAATAATAGTATAGGTGCACCGGCCATCTTGCTGATGGTGAAAGAATGAATGAATTTGGGGAAATATTGCTCTAATGATACCAGCTGGGCTTTTCCTGTGGCAGGTTCATTTGTATTTATCCTGCTTATTTAAATAACAAGAAGACCATCGCGGAGGGGCGGCGAATCCCCATAAGTAAGGTAAGCATGCTTTGCCGCGAGGACCTGGGCAGGTTACCCTGTTAGGCCACGAAGACTTCTTTTACCCTGCTGCATTGTTTGAGGCCCAAGGAGAACGAGCAGCCGACGACTAGGCTGCTTTTTTAAGTGATTCTTCCTGAACCTTTGTTTGAAAGAGTTTGGGGGTGGGGTGTTGTAGGGTTTGCACTTTTTTTTTTTTAACCAATGTTATGACAATCTTCTTCTTAATAAAGGAAACCAAAATTATGGCACTGCACAATATCATGTCCAGAATGTTAGTTGAGTTTTTTATTTTAAACAAGGCTTGCAGAAAATTCAGATGTGTTGAGTTTTACAGTTTTAGGCCCCTTATCATCATCGTCATCCTTTTGACTTGGATTAAGTTACTCTAAAATTAACACTTTTTTAAAGTAGGTATTTGTAGTCTTAAATGATTTCTCCCTTGTGCTGTTTCAATAGAAAAACCCAAGTTCTTAGTTAGCCTTGTGGCTTAAGTTTAGAAAGAGCCTAGAGCCAAGTGAAGGGATCTTTGTAGCTTTTTATTTTCACAATTAATGTTATATCCTATTTTCTAAGGCTGATTTACATTTTGTAATCTAATGGATTTGAGGAACTCGGCCTGAAAAAACACATTATTTTTGTGTTATTTCATATCTCCCATTTTGCTGCTTAAATATGTAAAGTCTGCTTCGCTGCTGCAGGGTAAAGGAGAAGATGCCAAAGCGCTGATTCAGAAAAATGCCCAACATCAAGCCTCTGACAGGGGCCTTCGGCAGCAGGCTCTCAGATAATTCGGAGAATGATTGAATTACTTTTAACTCTATTGATAGCTTACATACAGAAACATACACAAATCTTAAGTGTTTTTCTTGATTAATTTTCATGAAGTGAGTACACATGGTTAACCAAGTACCCAAACTAACAAAAACCAAAACATTCTAGCATCCCGAAAGATTCCTTTATGTCCCCCACCACCCCCTGTGTCCCCTGCACATATAGTCATAACAAAGGATGACCACTGCCCTGACTTCCAATACCATAGATTACTATTGCTTGTTTATTTTATTTAAATGGCATCACACACTATTTGCTTTTATGTCAATGAATGTTAAGCTTATGAGGTTTACCTGCACTTTTGAGTATAGTTTGTTAAATCTCATCCCTCCGTCGTAGGGTTTCCCAACAGCAGCACTGTTGACATCTTGAGCCAAATAGTTCATGGTTGTGAGTGCGGTCCTGTGCTGTCTGCGTCGTTTAGCAGCTTCCTTGGCATCTACCCACTGGAAGCCAGTGCCCTACCTCACACTAGGTGTGATGATCAAAAATGTGCCTTCAAGCATTGATAAGTGTCAGGGTGCAAGATTACCTTGCTGAAAACTACTGCTCTGTAGTATTGTGTTGTATGAATGTACCACAGTCCATTTTACTATTGACAGATAGTTGGGCAGTTTCTAGTTTGAGGCTGTTATAAATAGTGCTTCTTGAGATTGTCTATTTTGTATTTTGGGGGGGGTATATACCTTGCAGTGGAATTGGATGGCCATAAAGAATGCATTTATTTTACTTCCCATAGATTCTGCCAAACAATTTTCTAAAGTTGTATCTGTAATAGTTGTTTGACCAATATTCATTGAACCCCTGCTATGTTCCAAGCATTATGCCAGGTGAATATATTGGTGAACAAAGCAGTCCTTAACTTTGTGAAGTTTATGTTCTCATGGAAGGGAAATGGACACAAAAGTCTGAATATGTGAGTCCCAGGAATTTAAAAATTACAGTTGAAACAACTGTACCTAGTTTGTTGTGTTTTTTTTTAAGGAAACGAAGGGTCTTAGTATGTGTTTTATTCACAGTGTTTGAAATGATTTATACAACAGTGTAGCAGTATCCACATGAGGCTGAGCTATTTAGTGTTTTCATCTTTAATTAACTTTTCAGGCTGTTGAAAATCCTACAGCTACAGAGATTCAAGATGTATGTGCAGCGGTTGGACTTAATGTGTTTCTTGAGGTATGATATAGTTCTTCATTCACTACCATACTCATTTCATTGATGTGATAACTTTCTTAAATCTTGTTTTTCTTTCTTTATGTTAAGAAAAATAAAATGTACTCTAGAGAATGGAATCGTGATCTTCAGTACAGGGGCAGAGTCCGGGTCCAGCTCAAACAGGAAGATGGCAGCCTCTGTCTTGTACAGTTCCCATCACGTAAGCTTTTTTAATGAATGAATGAAGTTTAGGATAGGTTATTCCTCTACATTGCCAAAAATGTTCTAAAACTGACATTTTGACAAGTCAGAAACATAATTTGCATTCTGTGAATTAATTTAGAAAAAGGACTACTGCTGATGGAGAGAAACAGTGCTTTTAATTTCTTTTATGTTAAGGACATCTGAGAATTTGATGAAACCTAGTAATCATTTCTCAAAAAAAAAAAATAATAATTCTTCCATGAACATTTTAGGAACCTATGGAAGTCCACTGTTGTTCCCAGGTTAAGAATGAGAAATTATTAAATGGTCAGATATTATTGCTATTTCACATCTAGAAATGCTTGAGGTCTGTTACTGATTTCTAGTACTGATAAATCTAAAAAACTATTGAGTGAAAAAAAGCAAGAAGTATGCAGTGTGGTGCTACTAAGGTGTAAATTTAAATACAGAATATTACTATTTATTGATAGATGTGGATTCAGTGTTATTAATTGATATTATATATATGTGTGTGTATCAGTCCAGTTGCTCAGTCGTGTCTGACTCTTTGCAACCCCATGGACCACAGCACGCCAGGCCTCCCTGTCCATCACCAACTCCCAGAGTCTACCCAAACCCATGTCCATTGAGTCGGTGATGCCATCCAACCCTCTCATCCTCTGTCGTCCCCTTCTCCTCCCAGCTTCAATCTTTCCCAGCATCAAGGTCTTTTAAAATGAGTCAGCTCTTCGCATCAGGTGGCCAAAGTATTGGAGTTTCAGCTTCAGCATCAGTCCTTCCAATGAATATTCAGGACTGATTTCCTTTAGGATGGACTGGTTGGATCTCCTTCCAGTCCAAGGGACTCTCAAGAGTCTTCTCCAACACCACAGTTCAAAAGCATCAATCTTTGGAGCTCAGCTTTCTTTATACTCCAACTCTCACATCCGTACATGACTACTGGAAAAACCATATCCTTGACTAGACGGACCTTTCTTGGCAAAGTAACGTCTCAGCTTTTTAATATGCTGTCTAGGTTGGTCATAACTTTACTCCCATGGAGTAAACATCTTTTAATTTCATGGCTGCAGTCACCATCGGCAGTGATTTTGGAGCCCCCCAAAATAGTCTGCCACTGTTTCCACTGTTTCTCCATCTGTTTGCCATAAAGTGATGGGACTGGATGCCATGATCTGTGTTTTTTGAATATTGAGCTTTAAGCCAACTTTTTCACTCTCCTCTTTAACTTTCATCAAGAGGCTTTTTAGTTCTTCTTCGCTTTCTGCCATAAGGTGATATCATCTGCATATCTGGGGTTATTGATACTTCTCCCAGCAATCTTGATTCCAGCTTGTGCTTCATCCAGCCCACTGTTTCTCATAATGTACTCTGCATATAAGTTAAATAAGTAAGGTGTCAATATACAGCCTTGACATACTCCTTTTCCTATTTGAAACCAGTCTGTTGTTCCATGTCCAGTTCTAACTGTTGCTTCCTGACCTGCATATAGATTTCTCAAGAAGCAGGTCACGTGATCTGGTATTCCCATCTCTTGAAGAATTTTTCACAGTTTGTTGTGATCCACACAGTCAAAGGCTTTGGCATAGTCAATAAAGCACAAATAGATGTTTTTCTGGAACTCTCTTGCTTTTTCGATGATCCAAAGGATGTTGGCAATTTGATCTCTGGTTCCTCTACTTTTTCTAAATTGAGCTTGAACATCTGGAAATTCACGGTTCATGTATTGTTGAAGCCTGGCTTGGAGAATTTTGAGCATTACTTTACTAGCGTGTGAGATGAGTGCAGTTGTGCAGTAGTTTGAGCATTCTTTGGCATAGCCTTTCTTAGGGATTGAAATGAAAAGGGACGTTTTCCAGTCCTGCAGCCACTGCTGAGTTTTCCAAATTTGCTGGCATACTGAGTGCAGCACTTTCACAGCATCATCTTTGAGGATTTGAAATAGCTCAACAGGAATTGCATCACCTCCACTAGATTTGTTCGGAGTGATGCTTCCTAAGGCCCACCTGACTTCACATTCCAGGATGTCTGGCTCTGGGTGAGTGATCACATCATGATTATCTGGGTCATGAAGATCTTTTCTGTACAGTTCTTCTGTGTATTCTTGCCACCTCTTCTTAATATCTTCTGCTTCTGTTAGGTCCATACCATTTCTGTCCTTTAATGAGCCCATCTTTGCAAGAAATGTTCCCTTGGTATCTCTGATTTTCTTGAAGAGATCTCTAGTCTTTTCCATTCTATTGTTTTCCTGTTTCTTTGCATTGATCGCTAAGGAAGGCTTTCTTATCTCTCCTTGCTATTCTTTGGAACTCTGCATTCAAATGGGTATATCTTTCCTTTTCTCCTTTGCTTTTTGCTTCTCTTCTTTTCACAGCTATTTGTAACGCCTCCTCAGACAGCCGTTCTGATTTTTTGCATTTCTTTTTCTTGGGGATGGTCTTGATTGCTGTCTCCTGTACAGTGTCACAAACCTCTGTCCATAGTTCATCAGGCACTCGGTCTATCAGATCTAGTCCCTTAAACCTATTTCTCACTTCCACCGTATCACCATTAGGGATTTGATTTAGGTCATACTTGAATGGTCTAGTGATTTTCCCCACTTTCTTCAATTAAGTCTGAATTTGGCAATAAGGAGTTCATGATCTGAGCCACAGTCAACTCCCAGTCTCGTTTTTGCTGACTGTATGGAGCTTCTCCATCTTTGGATGCAAAGAATATAATCAGTCTGATTTCAGTGTTGACCATCTGGTGATGTCCATGTGTAGAGTCTTCTCTTGTATTACCGGAAGAGGGAGTTTGCTATGATCAGTGCGTTCTCTTGGCAAAACTCTATTAGCCTTTGTCCTGCTTCATTCTGTACTCTAAGGCCAAATTTGCCTGTTACTCCAGGTGTTTCTTGACTTCCTACTTTTGCATTCCAGTCCCCTATAATTAAAAGGACATTTTTTTTGGGTGATAGTTCTATTTTTTGGGTGATAGTTCTAGAAGGTCTTGTAGGTCTTCATAGAACCGTTCAACTTCAGCTTCTTCAGCATTACTGGTTGGAGCATAGACTTGGATTACTGTGTTACTGAATGGTTTGCCTTGGAAATGAACCGAGATCATTCTGTCGTTTTTGAGATTGCATCCAGGTACTGCATTTCGGACTCTCTTGTTGACTATGATGACGACTTCATTTCTTCTAAGGGATTCTTACCCACAGTAGTAGATATAATGGTCATCTGAGTTAAATGCACCCATTCCAGTCCATTTTAGTTTGCTGATTCCTAAAATGTCGAAATTCACTCTTGCCATCTCCTGTTTGACCACTTCCAATTTGCCTTGATTTATGGACCTAACATTCCAGGTTCCTATGCAATATTGCTCTTTACATATTGCATCGGACCTTGCTTCCATCACCCGTCACATCCACAACTGGGTGTTGTGTTTGCTTTGGCTCCGTGTGTGTGTGTGTGTGTGTGTGTATTGGAAGAAAACACCAAGTCTTAAGGTAGTGGTTACCCTAATGCAAGCAGGCAGTGAGGAGTGGTGCCAGGGGTGTGGTGGTCAGAGAAGACTGTTGCATTATCTCTAGCATTTTATTCCTTTAAAAAATCTTTTACAGCTTAATGACATTGAATTTTTGTTAGAAGACTCAGAAGCCTTGTGCTTCCTAGCTTAAGATACAGTAACAGCCTGATTCCGTTGCCAGCTTGTTATGTTTAGATGTTTCCTTTAGTCTTCAAGTCAATTACTAGGATCAAGGTAAAAATTTTTATTTCAAATAAAGTGTTCTAAATTTTTGTTTTGTTCATTTAAATTTAATTTCTGCATTGCTCTTAATAAATTTTCTCCTGGAAAGGTCCCCATTTTCTGCAAATCATTGTCTTCCTAGTTATTAAATTTTTTCTTTTTAAATTCTTATTTTCTTGATGTGGTGATGACTTCATGAACTTTATGATTTTCAAGTATGATGACCTTTTACATCTTGTTTCTCAGTTCATATACTAAGCCTAACTTCTGGTTCCTAGGTAAGTCAGTAATGTTGTATGCTGCAGAAATGATACCTAAACTGAAAACAAGGACACAAAAAACAGGAGGTGGTGACCAAAGTCTTCAGCAAGGAGAGGGAAGTAAGAAAGGGAAAGGAAAGAAGAAAAAGTGACCCGGTATGGGAATCAAGGATGTGATACTACTGTAAGAGACATGAATGGAGGCTTCTCATTTGTATGTGAGAGAAACAGAAGCTTTTTCTTTGCATCATTTAACTGAGCTGTGAACATTTGTGCCTCCCAGCTTCAACATCAGAGTTGATAATGAAATAAGTATACATCAGAAGTTTGCATCCAGCTCTCATGCAGTATAAAAGAAAAATTTTTTTTTTTGCCTCTTAATGCAGAGTTTTTGTGAAAGAAAGAAGCATATTCTTAAATGGACAGTGGGCTCTACCATAAGTTACTTGAAATCCTATATCTGTTTGTCCTCTATGTAAACATGTTTCAAATAAATGAGTTTAATAATATTTGAAAAACATGCTATCTTTTAAATTAGTGAAATAAAATTTCAAACTTGACATCTTGTAGCTTTTGCTTATGGACTAATTAATGCCAGTCGAGGCGATAAAGAGAATAAAACGGGGAGTGGAGCTTAGTGTGAACCGAAAGCCGGGAGGCGCTTACATCCTTTTGGAGGTCTGTGAACAGGCAGTCTCTGGGTCATATTCTTTCAATCAGTCATGGAAATTGAGTCCTTTCATCAATTACTAGTTTGTTGACATGTGGAAAGTCCTGAAATTTAAGCTTCAGATTTGCTTATTGTATAAATTGGAGTTCTAAAATTATCTATGCTTTAGCACCTTGAGATAAACTTTTTTAAAAGAAACTAAAGTGGATTGATAATTCTGACTTTATTCCAAAGCACTGTTTTAAAGTGGTGACTTTGTGTAGAATTTAAGAGACTCCTTCTCCAGCCTTATGTTTTTGTCTGCTGAGCATCTCCTGGGGGACTGCCTTTTCTGACTCGGTGTGCTTCTGAAAGAGCTGTCAGTCACAGGACTGCACCCTGACCACAGGATGTGACCAAGGCCAGGCCAGTGGAGTGTTTCTCTCGATTTTATATCTGGAGTAGAAACACAAGTACAGATGGTGATAGGAGGTAAGATTTGATTCATATCTTCCTGAGGCCTAGTGCAGGTCTTGTGTGAATCCTGAGTGAATTCATAGCCTTCTTTAAATCCCAATTCCTTTTTTATTGCTAGAGAGCACACAATTCCAAGTGATTACAGAGTAAACAAAGCCAGAGTTTCAGAACTTTAAGAGACTCAAAGGTTACTGTAGGTGTTGATTGAGTTGCTCAGTGATGCCCTCATACCTCTGTACTCCACTGCCTGTGGCATGTTTGCCACATCCATACAGTGGTTAACAAACGTGTGAAAGGACTGCTGACAGGCCTGTCACCACATCAGAGCTCCACATCTGTCCCCCTTGACGTCACCGTGTGAAGTTAGAGAGCTTCAGATTGATCAAGGGTTCATCAGACAGCTTAGGATTGTCGTCATTCACATTTTGCTGTGTCAGGTTTCTGTTCCAACATTGCGTATATTATAAACAGACCTTTATTCTGTAAAATTTTCAAGAAAGAAGCATCACAGAACTTTGACGAATTTTTCAGTGAATCAGGTAGATGTTTTCTCTGGCTGAGTGACATATATATTAATACTGTGTCTCAGAAGATGATAGTTCTTCAGAATATAGTTCTGATTCAGATGATGTAAATGATGATGTCAGACCAACAAAAAGACAAAAATCCTTAGTGATTGATTCTGCAGTGGGAAGTGAAAATGAAATGGTGCTGGAGAATGCTTGTTTGCTTCCAAAGAAGAGTATAGTGTTTCACGAAAATGACTTTACAGGTGTGTTAGGTATAATTGTTGAATGTAATAACCCACAAAGTGTTAGTGAAATAAGTTTTTGGCCAGCCACAGTAAAAATTGCCAGCCACAGGTGTTCAGTCACTCTGTGTCTGACTCTTTGCAACCCCATGGACTGCACCAGGCTTCCTTGTCCATCACCAACTCCCAGAGTTTACTCAAACTCATCTCCATTGAATTGGTGATGCCTTCCAATCCAATCATCTCATCCTCTGTTGTCCCCTTCTCCCACCTTCAATCTTTCCCAGCATCAGGGTCTTTTCCAATGAGTCAGTTCTTCGCATCAGGTGGCCAAAGAACTGGAGTTTCTGCTTCAGCGTCAGTCCTTCCAATGAATATTCAGGACCGATCTCCTTTAGTATGAACCGGTTGGATCTCCTTGCAGTCCAAGGGACTCTCAAGAGTCTTCTCCAACACCACAGTTCAAAAGCATCAATTCTAAAGTGCTTAGCTTTCTTTATAGTCCAGCTCTCACATCCATACGTGACCGCTGGAAAAACCATAGCTTTGACTAGATGGACCTTTGTCGGCAAAGTAATGTCTCTGCTTTTTAATATGCCATCTAGGTTGGTCATAGCTTTTCTGCCAAGGAGCAAGTGTCTTAATTTCATGGCTGCAATCACCATCTGCAGTGACTTTGGAGCCCCAAAAAATAAAGTCTGCTGCTGTTTTCACTGTTTCCCCATCTATTTGCCATGAAGTGATGGGACTGGATGTCATGATCTAAGTTTTCTGAATGTTGAGTTTTAGTTGTTAAAAATAACAATTTTTGGTCAATCACAATAAAAACTGCTGGCCACAGGTGTTAGTCTCTGCAAAAATTTCCTGAACAGCGTATTAAAAGGAAAGGCAGGGATTTCTCAAAACCTGTCCTGGCCAACTTTCACTTGTTTCATTGTCAAGAACACTGGCACAAAGTGAAATACAACCTTCTCAGTCCTGATAGAGTGGCAGCCAAGGAAATGAGTAGTTGAGAGTGAATACTGGGCAGTCAATGTAAAAGATTTGTCACAGAAAGATGCCTAGAATCTTTGTTTTAGAGATAGGGCAATAGGATTGTCAGAAAAGGTTTCACAACAATTGCTGTACATGTTGCTGTTTGTTCATGTTGCAGTCAGTGAATAATTATCTTCTTTGCTAGCCAAGTGAAAAACAGAGTCATTTCAGTGAATTATGTTCACCTTCTTTGCCCATTTTTTAAGGACTTTATTATTATCAGTTTTATACTTGTACATAATTGAAAGAGCTAGCCAGTTTTAATAGTTTCCATTTAGGCATTAACTTCCATCTCTAGAGGAGGATGATTTCTTTTTCCTTTCTTTACTCCCAAGACATGCATGCATCTTTCCCATCTTCCCTCCTACCACTGTATTTCATCATTGTAATCACATCTTACCTGACTCCTGAAAAACCTGTATGCAGGTCAAGAAGCAACAGTTAGAACCAGACCCGGAATAATGGACTGGTTCATAATTAGGAAAGGAGTATGTCAAGGCTGTATAGTGTCACCCTGCTTATTTAACTTACATGCAGAGTATACCATGCATAATGGTGGGCTGGATGAATAACAAGCTGGATTAAGAGAAATAGCAATAATTTCAGATATGCAGATGACACCACCCTAATGGCAGAGATCAGAATAACTAAAGAGCCTCTTGATGAAGGTGAAAGAGGAAAGTGAAAAAAACCGGCTTAAAACTCAACATTCAAAAAGCGAAGATCATGACATCTAGCCCCATCACCTCATGTCAAATAGATGGGGAAGCAATGGAAATAGTGAGAGACTTTATTTTCTTGGGCTCCAAAATCATTGCAAATGGTGACTGCAGCCATGAAATCAAAAGATGCTTGCTCCTCGGAAGAAAATCTATGACAAACCTAGAAAGCAAAGACATCACTTTGCCAACAAAGGTCTGTCTAGTCAAAGCTATGGTTTTTCCAGTAGTCATGTATGGATATGAAAGCTGGACCATAAAGAAAGCTGAGTACTGAAGAATTGATGCTTTTGAACTGTGGTGCTGGAGTCAGTACCACAGCCCTAAAGGAAATCAACCCTGAATATTCACTGGAAGGACTGATGCTGAAGCTGAAGCTCCAATACTTTGGCCATGTGATGCGAAGAACCGACTCATTGGAAAAGACCCTGATGCTAGGAAAGATTGAAGGCGGGAGGAGAAGATGGTGACAGAGGATGAGTTGGCTGGATGGCATCACTGACTCAATGAGTTTGAGGAAGCTCTGGGAGATAGTGAAGGACAGGGAAGCCTGGAGTGCTGCAGTCCATGGGGTCACAAAGAGTCGGACCCAACTTAGCGACTGAACAACAACAATTTAAAGTTTACGTTGTTGTTCTGTATTTCATTCATAGCTGAATCATGCAGTACCTTTGCTGCTCAATAGTGTGATTGGGGTGCAATGGGACTGGACTCCCCAGGGAGCTTGTGAAAATTTCACACTCTCTGGCCCCAGCCTGGAATTCAGATGCGTTTTGAAGATTTAGCTGATCTCTGGAAACACTCTGGAGTTTGCTGTGGTTACTTTTGTTTTCCTTGGAGCTAATTTTCTTTTATTTGCTTAGTTGTATGAATATTTGATGAATTATCAGTTGTCAAAATGTCCTTTAAAAAAGCTTGTCTGTCTCAGGCAGGTGTTTTCCCTCAGGTTGATCTGCTTCCCCAGAGAGAAGTCTGACAAGCTCCCAGGAGGATAAAGATCTGGGCGCCTAGTGGGAGACGGCAGGGTGGGCAAATGGTCTCGGCATTTGGTCACTCAGTCATGCTTTTAATGCAACTTCCCTCCCTTAACTCTGCCCGTGCCCCCTCTCCAAGGATCCCCCACTCTTTCCAGAGGATAAACCTCTGGTCTGCATGGTTGTGAGTAAGGTAGTTCTTCATTAAATCCTCTTTTTTTAGTTCCCTCCCAAAATTAAGATACTCTTTGCAGTTATTTTGATATTGTGGGTAACGATAATGAAATTTTTATACCCAAGAGAGAGACTAGGTGGGGTAGGCAGAATATGCTGTTCTCCTGATCATCATCCATCTTCGCAAAAAAAAAAAAAAAAAAAAAAAAAACAGTAAATATGTTGGTTTCATGGCAAAAAGCTTTGCATGTGAGATTAAGAATCTTGAGCTGCAGAGAGTATCCTGGGTTATCCAGGTGGGCCCAGTGTAATCACAAACAAGCTTATAAAAGGGAAGCAGGGGTCAGTGTACTAGTGGGCCACAAACGGGGGT